GTAGGAAGTAAAAGACGTCACCGACGTAGACCACTAGTAGGTAGTGTACGTCCCGTACGAACTACTCTCTCTCTCTCTCTCTCTCTCTCTCGCTGGACGCTAGGAGGTAGGAGGTAGGATCTCTGCAAAATCTTGGCAACGCACGCCTTTGAGCAAAAAGAGATTCATCAATCCCAAACATGTCCCGTCCATTGATTCACCTACGCAAACCTGAAAAAGGCAAAAATATGTCGCTTCCGTGGATCGAACACAGACAGTACCTAATACCAGGTCCGCCGTGAGTTGTCGTGTACTTTTTACTTGTTCACATATACAAGAGTAGCCTATCTCCAGATACCGCACAGAGTGGGAATAACTGTACCTAGTGAACTTCAGTCTGGCGCTCTCCCAAGTGTTCTAGCGTAAAGAGACAGTATGTTATATAGCAAGCGTTCTCAGTAGATGAATCGTAGCAGTTGCTATGAACCTTGTTCCATATATCACAATGAAGCGAGTCCTACGCGCTTCATCAGCAGCCAATTGTTCGTCGGTGTCCATCGCTGGTAAGGTCAACTTAAGGGCATGGGCGGCTAACTGAGGCGAGTGGCCATGCTGAGGGGTGCTGAAGTGAGGGCGAAGAGTATCGAGCTTCATCGAAAAGGTGCGAGAAAAGGTGATAGGCGCCATGAATGTTTCCGCAGGATGGTGCTGTGCTGCATGTGAAACCGCGAAACCGCGAAGTGCCAAGAATCGAGCATCGCTGACCAATCGCTTGGTCGGCAGGACTTCGCGTTCTCCTGGCCTGATGGAGGACTAGGAGAACACCCACCACATGCATGGCCTTATAAGGCGGGCGTCTGCCTCGCCCAAACGCCATGCTCGATGCCATCGCTATCGCCCGCTCCACCAGTACTCGAAGATCCTTCTTGCAAACGCCAACGGGACAACGACGACGACGACGGGGACGCCAACGATCCTCCTCGTGCACGCAAGAGGGCGAGGGCGAGGGCGAGGCGAAGGACAAGACTTACGCCAGAGGCTCTCCGAAGGCTGTCGCGGGACACGGTGAGATCTGAGCAGCGGACTGTGCAATGGGTACAGTCCGAGGCATTCGGCTCCAGCAGAGGGCAGGCGAAGAAGGCACGAAAGGCAACAGCGGCACTAGGCATTTCGTCCTCAGCCACGTCCCACAGACGCAGTCGACGATCTAGCAAGACCTCGCAGTCGACACGCACGAATTCGATCGACTCAGCCTCCTCGATTCACGATGCGAGCGCTGCTCAAATCCTGCGCGACCACCAAATTTACGGTCCTGCCAAGCGATGCGCTCCCGCGAACCTGGTCGAACTGCAGGAGAAGATGCGACGCCCACGAGCCTCCGTGTCTCCTTCACGAGTGGACGAGGCCACATGGGAAAGGTACTGCCGAGCGTACTATGCTGCGAAGAACGAGGATGCCGTCACTGCAAATTTCATGCAGCACTTCCCAGGAAATGCGCCGTACGAGACGATACAGAACACAGCATTCCGGAAGATGGCTAGTCTGACACCGTCAGCGAGGTTGCCGCCAGTGAAGCCAGATATTGCTGCCGGCCTGCCTCCAGAAGACATTGACATCAAGATTCGTCGTGAGATTGGCGCCTATGTTCTCACAACTAATGGCGACACACCTGCGCTAGTCAACAGCTTCACAGAGCTGAAAGGCCCGAGGGGCAAGGAGAAGGCCGGCCTGGAACAAGCAGCGTACGATGGGGCCGCTGGCGCTCGAGCGATGCACAAAATGCGTTCGTTTGGATTGTCAGCCGAGCCAGAGCCCGACGGGAATGCTCGCACTTTCGTTACATCCTATATGCAAGGAACGACAGCTTTCTACGCTTCTCACATGCAGCCACCCGGGCGAGGCGCGACTACAGGAAGCTATCATACCTATCCTCTTGGAGGCGAGTTCAGTCTGGGCAGTGCTGCGCAGTTTCGTGCTAGTATTACCAGCTACCGCAACCTGCAGGATATAGCAGCTTCGGAAAGACAAGCTGCACTTCAGCTAGCTCACGCGCAATCTGTCGCACAACAAGGTCCTAATACGCAGGATCCGGCGGCTGCGAGTTCTGTACGGCAAGCACGACAGGCAAGCTCATCAACCAAGCGTGCCCGACGTGTGGAGAGCAGTTCTGATGATGATTCTTACGCGAGCGCCAACGAAGACGAATGCAACGATGTATGATCTGAGAACTGCTAGCTAGTTCGCATAACGAAATATCTAGCATAATGATATTGAATTTGAAGCTACTTGAAGTCTGTTCACGTCATTTCATTGCAGCTTCTCCAGTCGACCTGACGTATCACTCGAGCTCAAGCCGTATCCTCTAATTCCACAACGACAAATCTGCCACTCCGCGATCGAGACCCGAGCATCTGCGAGAGGCTCTTCGAGGGCGCAAAAGGATGCAAAAAACAACAAAAAAGCATGTCGCTTCTGTGGATCGAACACAGTACCTCCAGATACCGCACAGAGTGGGAACGACTGTAGTGAACTTCAGTCTGGCGCTCTCCCAAGTGAGCTAAAGCGACCCATATATGTTTGCAAGAGGGCAGAATATAATATATAGACTAGTTCATGCCGCCTCACAGCCGATGGAGCGAAGAACAGGCTGTTGAACAACCTAGAGGCCTCTTAGGTTACCTAGGAGGTAAGAAGGTTCTGTAGGCATATCGTGCTCTAGTAGAGGTAGAGATTTGGCTTGAGTCTCGAGCAAACGTACTACTATACCTTAGGTATACCTACCTCTTCCTCCACCGCATCTGCTCATCGCCGAAACTCCTTTATCCCGTCTCGTCTAGCAACATATTACCCCTAAGCTAGTGATTCCCCTCTGCCTCCAAGCGCTGATTCAGTATTCGTACCTCTCCTATTCCGGGCGGGCAGTCAGACGCCTAGTGTGTGTACACAGCAGCTTGGCGTCCTTTTGCTCGTATTTTCAACCAGACAATTATATATAGATTTCGCTCTAGAATGACCTTCTTTGACGCCGGTACGTCGCAGATGTACCTGATGTATATAACGCAATAAAGACGATAGCCGCCTGGCGTCCACTAAGGAAGATGAAGAAGATGCAATTTATAGACAAAGGTCGTATAGGTCAGGGGACTTTGTAATACATACTGTACACTCGTGGAAACTACATGTATGCGACCTGTTGAAGGTGTTACTTACTCTAAACTGATACTGGTACTGTACAGTAAGGTACCTTATTCACTTTCTTCAAGCCCCTCAGATGCTGCTTCTCATGCAGGTACCTTCAGAGCTCTCAAAAAAGACCATCAGGTACCTACTCAAACGTTCACTTTCTTCCTGAGCACAAGCACCTTGGCCATCACTCCCGCACCTTTTCGATAATCCATACTATCCGCACTCACCACTTCCACCGCGCCCTCCCTTCGCAACCTCTCTACCTCCGCCTCAAACCCATGACTGCTCCAAATATCATCCAACACCGTCCCCGCCACAATCCCACCAGGCCTCACCACGCGCACAAACTCCGCCAACGACGGCTTCGGTCCCACATGTCCATGCGTCCACGTTCCCACGCAAAACACCACATCGTACTCTTCATCCCCCGTGCCCACCAATAACTGCGATAAATCCCCCGTGCGCAAATCTCGATAGACACCCGTTCTTCTCGCGATGCGCAACATGCCCGGGGATAAATCGAGTCCGTCGATGGTTTTTGCTCCGACGTGATGTAGTGCTATTCCGGAAAGTCCGGTTCCGCAGCCTGCGTCGAATGTTGTGCCATTATGGACGTTTCCGCCAGCTTGTACGACTGCTTGGGCTGCTAATGCTGGAGCGACGTAGTTTTGAGTTGCGTCTGTGACGTCGTTGCTGTAGCTTTCGGCCCAGTCGTCGTACAAGGTTACTAGGTCGTCGTTGTTTTTGCAGTTGTAGACTCGGGTGAGAAAGTCGTTGCCTCCGGTGTTTGTGGTGACGGGGTGGTCCATGATGATGTATGTGAATGGTAGTTCACTACATGTACCTATAGTGCTGAGTGTGTGACCTGGCTTTTGCCTAGTATGGTCATACAATCCAAGTGAATACATGTACCTCCTCTTGTGGAAAGAGCTGCATACCCCTCACCTGTCGGCCCCGAACTCGGTAGAGCCGGTAGATCAGAACATGATTCTGCGCACACTGCAGTATAGTACGTCTCGGACGAAACAGAATGATAGATTGTTGCGGTGCCGTTCTGCTGGTTTCCATATGAACCATGATCCACAAAAGTAAGAGCGTTAACAGTGCAAAAGGCGAGGCGAGCTTCCATGTCGTCTATCAATGGCTTATTCAATGTCCTATTCGTCCGAACATGCTCTTGTTGGGAAAGATCTATGTCCATCGTGTCCAGGATGAAAATGATCCGTAGAGCGAATGCTGGAATCTAGGTGGTGTTTGCAAGACCCGAGTGAGATGTAAAGACGGACATGGTGGAGGAAGCATATAGTCTGCTTCGATGCGATCAAGTGGCCACCCGTCGCCCATATCCCGCAGTCTATTATTCTTCTTCATCACCATCATCTTCATCGTACCCTCCTTCCCCCTCGCCATAGTCTTCCGCGTCCTCGTCTTCACCACTGTCCTCACCAGACCCATCAGTCTCGCCTCCAGATTCAACATAGTCTTCTTCCTCCTCATCTTCCTGGTCCTGTAGCTGTTGTTCCGCTCTTTGCAGTTCTGTGAGACCGTCATCATCGACAGCGCCTGTCTCAGCCGAGCCATTTGTGTCTCCATTCGCTTCTTTCTTCTCCTTGTTCACGTTATAGGCTTTTGCTCGTCGGTCCGCCGCCATTGACGCATCATTTAAGCCATGTCGTTTCACATACTCATCTATACCTGCAAAATCCGCCTGATCTATCATGCTGAATTCCACATCTTTGGCCTCGGTGCTGCCGCCTTCTGTTGCTGTGATGACGAGGTTGAAGGTTCGTTGTAGAACGGAGGTGTAGCTGATGGATTCTACTGAGGAAAAGGGAAAGAAGGACAAGGGCTTTTTGAACCCGAAGACGATGCCGTTGGGGAGGAAAAAGAGGTAGCCTGGGCACGTTAGCTTCGTCTGACTGACAAGGAGATTGAGCTTCACACCTTCTTTCGTGCCTCGATGCGCCTTGACATGATATGCCTTTTCCCCTTTGCGATGTGGCTGTGGAATGCTACTCGCAAATTCATTCTCGTCTGGGCGAACGACTCGCTTGCCGTGAGGTTCTAGCAGGTCGTTCAACTCGGGCTCCATAACTGTGATATATGTGTCGTCTTCGGCCTTGGGTCTAACCGATGAAACTGCATCGTCCGGCTTCGTCTCGTTCATCGTGAACACCATCTGCTCGCATGTTGTCCCATCTGGCCCTATTGCTCCCGCTAGAGGAATAATGACAAAGCTGGACTGTCGTTGCTGCTTCTCTGGGACCGGCAAGCAGAAGACCTGGTCAATCTTTGCATTGGGTATCGTGTATTCCACATCATTCGTCTGCGCATTCAACAATCGCACTTCTCTCCTCCGCGCGTCCGCCTGCTCGGCGACGATCTGCAGCTTCAGCTTCTTTCGCGCTGGCACCTGGAAGCTCACATTCTTGCACTCGAATGTCGTTGACGGGGCGATGATGGGTGCAGCATGAGAAGCTCCATTGGTAGTCGGCGGTGGGGGTTGCAACGCGTCGTCCAGCTTCCGCTTCTTGGAAGTCGGAGGTAGAATCGAACTGCCCGTCTGTACGTGTCTGGCAATGTCTGCGAACAAGGCCGGTAATTCTCCTTGGTATCGCGTCCCAGCCGCCAGGATCCGCGCCGTGAGATCAGTGTCGCTCTGGAAGGTGGCCTGCACCTCGTGTGTCCAGTCTGCCATGATGGTATGCTGCCGCTCTCCCGTGGGCAGTGTGCGTGTACCGTACCGTATACCGAATGGGGATATCCCTCCACAAGCGGATGCGGTCTCCTCGTCTCACTTACTACCTCTCCTACTCTCCGTCTCCCGGCGGCGCGAACGATGGACTAAGCGAGAGACGATGTCCCTCCGTCGTGCGTCGTGACGCGAGATACACCGTAAACGTGTGGTCATGAAACGCGTCGGCTCATCGTGGTGGTTCGCCAAGAGCTAACAAGACTTGGGAGCGCGTCCTCCACTGCCGGCTCCAATCAGCGATCGCCTGGTCAGCGACTCTCGCGTGTGATCCTGGTGCGTCAGGTGTTGTAACGGCCGCCATGACCTTTTCCCTTCTTGGCAATCATCTAGAGACCACAACCACGGCGAAATCTGGTGGCCTCCACGTGCGAGGTCACCATGGCGCTGACATAGAATACCAAGAAGCCGTGGCCAGCGCCGCGTTCACCCAAGGATCGCCTTCTCGTCACCTTCTGACAGCCTTCGACGTGGTGGAGATAATAATCAATAATACCTAATCATCTGCAGGCAAACGCATCCCGATTCCCGAGTGCAACCTACCTGTAGTTCTACCTACCTACCAAGCCCTACCAAATGTACTCCATGTGAACTTGTGTTGGAAGCACAGCTTCAGCGCACATGTGGCCACTCCTGGTCTTCTGGTGCCTCGTGGCACACGCCTCCTCGCAGGACACTGCTCTGGGCACCACCAGCGTGAGCGCGTCCACAAGCACACAGCATTCCGTCATCTCACTGTTCCTTCCCATGGGCAGCCCGGATCAAATCGAGGCCTCCATCGTCTCCGCGGTAAGTAGCCTGGAAAGACTTCAAGTGCCAGCACGGCGGCATGCGATCTCCTGCTGTGTATCATATCGGGCACTGTATCATTATTGTAATATGCTATGCGAAGTACATGTAGCGCTGACGTGACAGCAGTCTCCGAACGAAACTGCTTTTGCTTTGGGATGTGCGGCCAATGCAACTAGCTCATCTGCTTGCTACTGGGACACCGATATCACCGTAACAGAAGGCGAGAGTACCGTCATCTGGACAAATACACACGCTGGGGAGGGGTATGCCTTCTACGGATTGTGGCAGGGTGCACGCGCTAACAAAACACTATAGGGCTGCAAGCGTTACAATTCCCCCCATGACCATGGAATGCGCATTGGTAGGAGCCCACACCACAGAGACCCCCATTCATGGTGCCAGCTCGGCCATTTGCACTGCAAGATCCACGATTCCAGGCCTTGGCATTGCAGCCAGCACCTCTGTGCTTGCTAGTGTTGACATCAAATACGTCCCCGTGACTGTCACGGCTGGAGTGGAGAAGATCATGGCTGCTTCTGCGTACGCCACCACCGCTGTCTCCAAAACTTCGACCAGTTCCGCCGGTGCAGCTGCCATGACCGACATGGCATTGATTGGTTTCAGTGGTGCTGCCGGACTCGGTGTTGCTATGCTCGGTATGCTTTGAATTTTCCGAGAGCATGTTCTGCATGTTCAGGATTGATCTGCGCCGAGGTTCAACAAGATATCGTGCAGTTGAAGATCTTGCTCGCTTACCGAAGCCTGTGCACCGCGAGCGCCAGTTGTTTTGTGCGCTGAAAGTCTGTCAGCCTTCAGTCGACTTCCAGAAGGCTGTTGGGCGGGTCCCGAGGGTGAGGCGTTCGAGGTGGGGATGGAGAGGCCATCGTGGTGGAATCGTGCTCGACCTGTCTGTTGGTGCTGATGCAAACGAACAGCGCACCAGTGCGAACCTACAACTCATATACTGGTCGCAGCCTGTGACTGTATTCTACTTCTGGTGTCTTCCAGGCTTCGCCTACCACGCCGTGAACAACCAACACAAGCCAACATCCTGCGATCTCGTGGCTTCGAACGCCGACGCGGGCTACTCAAAGGCTGGAGATCGATTCTGCTCCATCTTGAGCCATCGTGGAGCGCTTTTCTCAGCCTGGCTGCGAAATATGAGCGCTTCGCGCTCCAAATCCAACTGGACCCACTATAAATTGCGGCTCAGCCCGCTCCCAAAATAGCGAAGGATCCAGACACAACAAGTACACCACACCCGCCTACACTGCAGACGAGGTCTGGCCGTCACTGGCTTATGGGATGTGGTATACGTCGAGGATTACGGCACGACAGCCTCTCCATCCGTGCGCGCTCTGCCGCGATCGCATCCTACAAGGCTATAAAAATTGCGGCAGTTCCTAAACGACAGGTAGCGAAGTGCTACCGATCATGGGATCCTGCAAGCCAATACAATTTAGGATCGATGGATCTGGCCTGAATTCCTCTGGTAGAGTATGCTGCTGCCGGCACAGGGCTCTCCTGGGTGGTTGTAGGGACCACCTAACGTAATGCTTAAACGCAGTTACCGAAGAGATTACCATGGACTACCCATTTCCATTCGCAGCAGCATCAGGTTCCTCTAGGAGACCGTGACTATAGACAATAAATGAATATAACGCAGTTCAACTTGGCGATTTGAATCATAGATCTCAATAACAGAAAACAGGAAATGTAGGTATAATGGCAAGAGGTACCCACCCGGATGAATGGTTCAGCGAGAGTACCCCCTGCCTTAGCTCTCGCACTGACTGCTCCCAGGTGTTCACGATGCTGCCTTACGGTGATAGACGTACCAGCAGAAACACCACTAATTTCATTGACCTACGATCATTTCTTGGCGTCGAAACGGGACCCCTATGGCCTATGGCCAGGAGGTGAAGGTATAGCAAAGCGGTACATACCAAGAGAAGGAGGACACGGGGGAAACAATACGACGCACAGAGTGTACGCTGCACTGCGGAAACAGGCAGCGGTATTTGGGAGAGTTGAGGCGCAGAGGATAAGTACCTACTATAGGCCCTGGTAACGATTTTTCTCGCCAACAAGACTTGAAGTTACTTGATCCTGTTTACACTACCTTGCTCACATACACTTCGCGCTGACAGAACAACTGCTCAATTACATGTACCTTACCTCGCGGCTTGAGAAGCGTTCCAACTCACACTTACGGTACATAGGTAGGTACGCTTTCTCTATTGACGCCGCTCTACCGCGCTAACCCGGCTACGGACAAGGTATAGGCGAGGCGTATCGGAGAACCTGGGAGAAGGAGAGGAGAGGTGTTAAGAGTGGGAAGAAAAAGATGATGTTCCTCAGGCATCTATGTAGGTTCAAGATGGGCTAATATACATGACTGAATAGTCAGGTGGGGGCCCCCTTCCCCGTAAGGTTTGGGGAGCTACGTAGCCCTCCGCTGCTAAGGTACTTCCGTAACAAATGCCGGTTCCTTTTGAAGACCTTCTCGTGCCCTTATAGTCCACTCAGAACGGCAACATCTCCTCGTCTGGTTCCTTCTTGATCTTGATGGCCGGGCTATCGTCTGGTGCCGCGACCTGCTCGGCGACCCTTGACTTCTTCTTCGGGGGGCCCTCTCCATCGTTCTGCTCAGGTCCCGCTGTCGACGCAAATCCGCTCTCTCTTCCCGTCTGGGGAGAGAGAGGCCAGTATCATTGCGTGCTGGACCTTTGGGAGTTCCGTTTGCTTTGCGGGTCGGGCAGCCGTCAGTTTTTCGACTTTCCGTGCCCGGTGGCGCGTACGTGTTCGTGCAAGCGATTGCCTGAGTTGAATGTGTTGTGGCAAGGGGGAGGAGATAAGGATCCCGCCCTCTCCATCAATACTATACTACTACGCTAACAGAGGTCTAGATAAGGTATAGACGAGGCCTGTCTCCGAGGCAGGGAGGTAGAGAGGAGACTAACAACAAGCCTAGTTATAAAGCACAGTACTACTCCACCACTGGGTCTCGCGTCACAGGCTTGAGGAGTTCACACATGAGAAGTTCACGACCCTGTATGAGGTTCATAATCGTGAGCGCTTCCATCCCAAGCATCAGGATTCAGAAAATCCACCATATCATTAGCGCTTGAGTACGATGGTCTTCCGGCTCATCAGGCTCGGGATCCCGAACGATCTCTTCAATGGACAACGCCCGGACCTGCAAGAAGACTCTGGCCTCCCCTTCTGTAAATCATTTGCGGGAAATATATTCGCCACGTGACTGGGACAACATCGCAACCAGAGCTTGGGGAGCGGGTTGAGGTGTGAGAATGCGGAGTAACAGAAGTTCGAAACTGGAAGTGAGGAGAAGGCACTCAGATGGCACAGTCATACCTGACCTTGTTGCCGAAGGCGCGAAGCGCGCCCTTTCTGTCGAAATGATGTTGGCGAGCATACATGTAGCTGTATACATACTGGTATCTGCTGTATAACGTATACTGAATGTGTTGAAAGCTGCTAGGAACACGAGTGTATTTGTACTGCATCCCAGTTCTTTCTTTGTCTACATACAGGTATATAATTGTTGCGGCAGGCAAGTTATGATGTCGGGTGGTCTCATGTCATGAGTTCTCACCTCAGTCACTGATCGTGTTTCTGAGATTGGCGAGTGAAAGCGCAGGGGGCGCCTGGTGTCTTACAGAGCGAATCACTTTGCAAATGTGCGCCTTCCAAGTTATCTTCGAGTTGGTTGCTCCTGCCTACCAACGCGTGCAATCAGAGCGCACTAGGCCAGGCCAGAATTTCGTCAGCTCAGGTACATAGTATCTTCTGCGCGTCAACCCCAACTCCACATCCACCTCCACCTCCTACACAACCACAACGATAGCGTCAGATCGCACCACTCTGCCGCCGCGATGAACGAGGACGATATCGCAGTCATGATGGCTGATCTCGGCCATCAACGTCGAGATGCTGTCGTTGCGCCCGAGGACGGCAAGCGCCAGGGACCGTTCATGGATGAGCGCGACAAGATGCTCGACGCAGCGGAGGAGCTTATGCTCCGCCAGAAAAAACTCCGTGGTCCTGCTCAAAATGAAAAGCACGAGAAATTGCAGAAGTGGAACACTCCAGCGATCTTTGGCAAGGATGATATTGCTGAGCAGCAACCGGACCGCTACCATGGACAGGGACATCGCGCTTACTTGGCAGAGAAGGTCCTGCAGTACAATCGCACTCCCGACGGTGGTGGTGGTAACAGAGGCGGTAGAGGTGGCGGCAGCATTCGCGGAAAGGGTATATGATCCTGAGCGGGCAGAGAAAACTCGACGTGCTCGAGCAATCCTCCAGATGTACTGAGGCTGACAATCCCGCTAGGAAATATGCCACAGCATCACGGCCCTGCACCTCCAGCGCCAGACAGATCGGGAACAGCTTCAAAACCAGGCCCGAAGCGAGCTCGATCCCCTCGTAGTGCTGGCACCATGCGTTTCGTCAAAGGCAAGCTCATGCCGAACGCAACACGCGATCCTGCGCCTGGCCCTGCTGCGAGAGCTCTTCAACAGGTCACCGCAAGTCCTGCGAGAGCCACAGCTGCTGGAAATTCGACCCTCCGTGATACGCCATCGGACCAGGCAAACAAAGACTATGCTCAGATGTCTCAGAGTATGTGGGCAACTTCGGAAAAGACGGCCCCGTCATTGACTCTGTCGTTTCCAGTACGTGCATCGCACACCATCTCCGCAAGTTCTATTGAATCTGCAGGTCCAGCGTCCGCAGAAGCCAACTTGATCGCAAACACCCCAATCGCAAAGCCCAGAGAGGCAGCGTTCACTCCGGCTGTTCCTCGATCAGCTGTGTTGAGTAAGGGGGCTCCTGGCATCAATGGTGTCAGCGACCAAGCCGGAAAGCGCGCGACTATGCCGCCGATGCCAGCAGAGCTTCGCGCCATTGCCGCAGCTGAGACTCCTGGGCACAAGGGAGCGGGACTGGACGTCGAACTTGTGAACGTTGGTAATCGAGAGGTGCCAGGAGATTCGGCGCGCCTGGGTCAGAAACCCGGCTCAGAAAATGCAAGTGCATATTGCTCTGCGCACAAAGCTCGTGTCTGGCTGTTACAGCTTGCTGTCGATGCTCTGAATGGCGGCGTGTCTCGCCTTGCGATCGCCATGGCTGACGAGATTATCTAGGTGGTTGTCAAAAAATCCACGCTTCCTCGCGAGAAGCTGGAGGCCGAGAGCCTTCCACGCCCCACTCTTTCGCCCGAGCGTCCCCGCACACCCAACATGACTGCGAGCGCCTTGAGCTCCCTGCATGCATCCGGGACATCGCTAGAAAATGACGGGCCTGGCGAGGGAGGAGTTCTGAGTGTGGACTACTACGACCATGAGGGCAAGCACCACGGGAACATGAAGTTCAAGGTCACACCTCCTGTGCATGCTAGCGTCAAAGTCACTGCGAAGGCAGGAGCATACGACCCGATGCGTATGTCTGATCAGATGCAGGCTCTGGCCACGCGCATGCTTCAAGGATTCTAGGCAACCGAGATGCAGGCTGTTGATTCTGTAGCAGCTGCCGGAAGCAGTTTTTCGGCTGCAGTACCCCTTATCGCCTTGGGGATTGATTCTTGGTGTACGCTGCCGAGGAAACCACCATTGTACCAGATGGAGTTGCGCAAAAATTCGAGCGTTTCAAGCCCACATTTGGGCGAAGTCTGAATCGAGGATGTCCACGTAGATAGCCAGGTAAACTACGGTGTCTTGCCCTCGCTATCGTCCGTGCCCCATAAGAGATATTACAAGTCTCCCCTCGGGAATCCAATCTTGTCTGCGCTTTCCACGTTGCAGCAGTAAGGTAGGTACCTTTACATAAGGTAGGAAGCCTTCTTCTCCTCGAGGCCCCATGTCTCTTCACAAAAAGTGAGGCATTCAAACCTACCTCTTTAAAGGTACCTAGGTAAGATCAGATACCCAGGTAGCTTTTGGCCACCAAAGTCCCCCGATTAACGAATACCTGGAGAAAGTCGGGGCATCGTGGGATGCTTGCGCGTGATGAGGTACCTATAATGTATCTGCGAAAGCCCCGTCTGTCATTTACAGGTACATACATGCAGGTAAGGTACCTAGGTACAGGAACCTCAGGTAAGGTAGGTAGGAATAGAATGTGTTGCTTACATGTACGTACAGTAAAGAATTTGTCGAGAAAACGGGCATCTGCGGTTGTTGTAAGGGAAGATGTACATGTATGTACCTACCAGGTGCCTAGGTACATGTAGCTATCTGGTCGAGGTATATGACCTAGGTTCCTTTCTTGCTCACTTTCTCCTTGTGAGGGAAGACGAGCTGCTGAGGTAGGAGGAGGAGGAGGGGCGGAGGAGGAGGAGGAGGAGGGCGTCATGAACTATAGGTATCGATTAAGCGCAGAATCACTTGGCTGCCTTTCACAAGCAGCCAGGCGATAAATACCTTATCAGGCTTTGGTGTCTATGAAGGCTTCTCCTTCTTCTCTAGGCAGGTATACCTAGTATTTCTCGCCGAGCGCAATAGCAAGCGATGTGTTGGGAAACTTTCTAGTAGGCTCCACTAGATGACTGGCTTCGAAAAGCAAACCTGATGGTGTCTTTGGTCGTCCCGCGATAGTGGTAGAGAAGCAAAGTATAATGCTAGCGTCAAGAGCGCAGCCCGGCACTTTCTCTTGCGTGGGGTATATGTGACACCGTCGGTGTGCGTTGCTAGCACAATAAGGTAGTCTCGTTCGATTGACCTGGAAGAGTGGCATATAGCCTAGGTACTTTGATCAGATATAGCTGTGGTGGCGTCGATTCGGATGGACGCCGTCTGGTTTGTCCGCGCGGTTCTACAACCCTAATATACTCTTCTGAGCTGCTCGCGTGGGCACGACAATTAGTACGAGAACTATTCAACTTACCATAGATATAAGAACCGTTCGTGGGAGGCGTGTACGCCATCGAACTCACGGCATTCCGCTTTCTAGTCGCCGATCGTGGATCGTGCAGCTGGACAGGTGAATGAGGATACTACTAGCCCCCTGGTAGACCAGCTCGAAACGTTTCCTGCTTGTTGTGGCACCAGGCAGACCAGCTAGTTGGCACTCGGTGAAGTCGACGATAGCTGTTTGGGCAGTGCTTAGTCTCTACCTGTTCCTGTATACATACCTCCTCGAAGTGATCTCCGATGCAAACGTCACGTGATGACACAGGGTCCACGCTGCCGTTTACTACAATGGTCCTCAGCGCACACAGCTAGTCAGGTACCTCCTACGGTATTCGCCGACCACGAGCATGGACGGTACGCACCGCGCTGCGCAGTTTATGGTATCGGCACTCGGTCCTGGTTAGTAGTTGCTAGATAGTCCTCGCATGGCATGCATGTCGGTATTCACAGCAGAGACGGGTCGCAGGCCAAGACGGCACACTGCTCGATTTGTGTCGTCGGTGAGGTGTAGAAGGGACAGCTGGTACAGTTAACGTGCTTCTAGTGCACCATCTTCATCCCGTCCGCTCCGTCGGTGCGGCTTGCTTTGGGCTGGGCGTGAGGGGAAGGTGCACACGTGTTAGGAAGGCGCGATGGTGAGAATCATGAGTTGGTGGCAGGTGCGATGGTGCGATGGAGGGGGTTCCGTGCTTGCGGAGTTTTGGTTCGCACTTCACGTCTTCCCCTGTCTTTGATTACTAATTTCCCTACCTTACCTCACGTCTACTTACTCAGCACCATTAGAGCCTCAACTCTTAGCCAATCGCACTACGTCCAGGTTCGGAGAAGTCTTGTTCGGCCTTTGCAGTGTAAAGTCTTTCTGCCTTTGCGACTTGGACGCAACTAGGTGAAACGATGCCGTTCTGGTCGAGCTCGGCGCATCCACAACCCCTCTTCCGCGGATCACACCATAAAGAAGGACCCGGCAGACCTTCCATTGCCTTAATCCGCTTCCGTAGTAGACGGGCGTAAGGATCGTAAATCCCGGATATGCCGCCTGGATTAGTGGACTGCACCTGGCCACACGTGCACGGCTACGATCATCATGCAGACTGCAGTGCCTGTGCAGCAGTACTCATCAAGAACTCATGTCGCAGTCGGCGGATGTGATACACGCTGAGAGGAGGAAACTATGTGCAACAGGTATCGACAGGCACCAAGATGCAAAGCATAATCTGTGCCGTAAGATCAGAATAGCATCAAACGGCGTCGACTATGATTTTGCATTCTGGGCAACAAGCGTCCGTCGAAATCTGTTGGCCCGGGCTGATGCTCTAGGCAGACTCTGGCAGAAATACTCGTGAACAAGGATGCTAATCTTTCGGCTTGTCCCAAAGCCTGACAATTCACCAGAGACCATGGCCTTTTTTCAAGCCCCAGTTCCATCCCTCGTGTGGGAACAGCTGGCAGCCCGAATATATTTGTACTCGCCGTTGTGGATTCATCACCAGCGACATGAACGGAATGTCGTGCACCCGGTAGCAAGGAAAGCTGGCCTGATGTCAACATTGAGTCATATTCTAGCGGATGCCCAGGGCTAGGATTGCCCTGCTCGTGGGTTGGTCGCTGTGTCTACAGTACAGTGCTACCTTACACATGAATTCGATGCTTGGGGTGCGGTGCTGGGGATTGGTTTGTTCCCTTGTAAGATCGAACTTTCGAGAAAGCGTGCAACGCGCAATACTGCTCATTCCTCTCGATTAGCAGCCATTATCTTCAGGAAGGATTGTGAGAACCTACGACAGTCAACCTATTGCTGTTTAATGTTATCGGATCCGTATCGTATCAAGTGACGTTGAGGGCAGTTTCGTCATCACAGCTACAGGTATGACTTCAAGGACAACCGAGCAAAGTTCTTGAGCAAGTACGGGCATATAGATGATCCTTGCAACATGCTCTGGTTGTTTGCTGGGGTTAGGTGTGGCTAGTGCACTAGTTGCAGTCCGAAAATGGGCAACATTGCGCGAGTGCGATCACATGCTATTGAGACACTTGGCTCGATTAAGGATTGTAATATCTGCTTGCAGCGATGAAGAAAAATCCATTAACTGACCTTTTGGGGCTAACAATCTTTAGAGTCAAACTAGTGTATGTTCTAGGCCAACCAAAGCAAAGTTAATGCAACCAACAATCGAGTCTGTAGAGTAAGTGAAGACGCGTGGCCCACAGACAGTCATGTCGTAAGTGTGTCTGGGTAGGGGGTAAGAGGTAACGCATGCATAACTCGGCCTTGGGCGGAGATCAATAGTACGAAGATCGGCGTCGTTGCTCCCGTTTCTTCTAGAAGGCCCAAGGAAAAGCTTTGACAAAACTTGGGAACTTTAGACATCAACTGGTCGCTAATCTTCATAAGGCTGGGTTTCAAGCCACAATGCAATGATTCCATCCCGCACGAACGCAGTACCTCCTACCTTCTACCTCCTAAGGCATCTGATGAGCCGATTTCACTATGCACGACGTGCTCTCAGCGTCACGTGGCATGCACAACATGCACAGATGATTTTATGCTGCCTCCGAGCAGCTCAACGATTGACGACATTCTGGAGTGTGAAGAGCCCGTGCCAAGCACCGAAACTGATTTACGTAAGTGATAGAAGCCGATGTGCCAGGCCAGGATCGGCTTCTCGCTCACCATAGGCCTGGGGAAATTCTAGACGAGATACCGCGCTTCTCATGTTAGGCAAGTGGAATGGCTTCTAGGCATCATGACCCTGGACTTATTGGAAGGGCGGACGTGATGAAGCCGACGTTGTAGTAGCTCCCTGCCATGTATTGTACAGTCAGGTAGTTGTACGTTCCGATCGGTTTTATGCCGGAGTTTGCGCTTCCGGTTCTGTGGAGATATACCAACTTCAACTTCCATAATATGCTCGCGCCAAAAGGCGGGACACACAAGCAGAGCGTGCCAAGAGTTGCATCATCGTATAGTCTCGGCAAGCTCCTGGAGGCAGGCAAACGCAAAGTACAGATTGGCACGGGAGGTGGTAGTATGAAGTCACCATCGGACCCTCGAGAGCCACACCGTTTCATCACCAACTCTCAGTCTGCATCTTTAGAGCCACAATAGCTCGAGTTCGGGCTCGGAGATTGGCTATGATATGATCCCGCAGTTCTCGACATTTGCCTCTCTGCGATGGAGCACTGTGCGGCTCTTCGCTCGCATGTCTACGAGCTGCCGAAACCACAAGGAACTTCATGACTTTCATGTGCGCACTTCATGCGGTCATGGAGATCGGCACAAGAACGCGGTCCTGCACGTCAAGTTAAGCTTTGCTGCTACTATGGCCATGCGGCGGGACGTGTGGCCGTGCGATACCAGAAAGACTCCTAGACTCCTAGACTCCTGTTTCTCCAGCTGCAGCAGGGCTTAAAAGACAGGCTCCGACGAGCAAGGCTGCTCGGGATACTAGGCCTGCTCCCGCCGAGCGGGAAATGCTTGCCCAAGGGACGGTGCCAGACCAGCCAAGAGCCCAAGTTCAAATCAGGTCGGTCATGGCAGCATGGCACAATCGCCACACAGCCAGGGAAGTTGAACAAGCCAAACCTTGCGGCAGCCCTGTGCCGTGGCAGCCGAGAGTCTAACAATCCCGGGGTCTCTCTGCAGGCGTGTGGGCGTTCCGCTCACTTGAGTCAACCTCGGAGGTCTGTGCCATGAGCTAAGAAGCAGACAGTCTTCACAGCTGCCCGCCAAGCGGTCTACCAGCGCGCGAGGCAACTGATTTCACTTCGAGCTGCAGATCCCCATGCATGAGTACGCTTATTGGCTGCATACCCGGCTGTGGCGATATGGATATTAGTAGGAATGGGTAGGGCGCAGTGCCAACAGCCATGTCCCAATACTCAGGAAACCGAGCCACATATCCGTGCCCTGCTCCTACCCTTCACAATCCACAGCTGTCCCGAACTTTCTAGCAAACCCATCCCACGGCGCAGACACCTACTGTACTGGCCGCCCATCTTTGCCTTACCTTTTTCCCTCACGGAAACGCTTTGACGACCAAAGATCTTGTCCGAGACCTCACATGAATTCGCTCAGCTCGCAAGGTTGAAAGGCTGCGATGCCTCCCAGGCCCATACGACCCAAGAATGAACCGTTGGCATCTGAGGGCAATGATGCAGGAGAGGGGAAGAGTGGGAAGCGAAGGGCAGTGTCATCTGCATGCATACCATGCCGGAAACGCAAAAGCAAAGTAAGTATCTTTGATCCAGGCAGTGTAGCAATTCCACTAAAGAGTGTCGACAGTGTGATGGAAACGTCCCATCGTGTTCTACTTGCATAGCGGTGTACAGGACGGAGTGCATGTATGACGCTGACTCGGACCACCGGCGGAAAGGTGCACTCAAGCGGGACATTCAGTCTTTGCAACAACAAAACGACGCCCTAGATGTTATAGTTGCTTCGTTGCGAAGTTTACCCGAGAGCGAGGCCATTGCACTACTCCACAGTCTCCGAAGTGATGCGAAACCAGAAACACTGGCCGAGTCACTTCGGATCAATCTGCAAATCATGCCGCAAGGCTACGCGCAGCAAACCCTGGAAGCAGACTTTGCACAACACACTTCGACCCCGTCCAGCACGACATATGGCAGCCCAAGCTTCCCTGGAGGGCTTTCACGAAACAACTCGGAAGAACAGACATATCAGATGAACATCTCTACGATACCCGAACAGAGGAGAGACTGGCTCACAGTGCCTCAAGACGCCGAGTTCGTTGAGCATCTCCTCAATTTGTATCAGTGTTGGATATCCCCGTTCTACACTTTCTTTCGCTGGGAGCAATTCACTCACGACATGAACCGTGGGCGGACAGACCATTGTAGTTCAATGCTCGTCAACGCAGTGTTAGCGTTTGCATGCCACTACTCCGACCGAGCGCTGGCACGCACTGATCCGAATGTTGCAAAAACAGCTGGTGACCACTTCTTCGCTGAGGCCAAGCGTCTTCTCGACCACGAAGAAAGTCCCCGGCTGACCACCGTGCAAGCTCTTGCGATTATGTCTCTTCGGGAGAACTCAGCCGGCCGGGATAGCAATGGGTACCAGCTTGCCGGCCGCAGTGTGCGGATGGCGCTGGAGCTCGGACTACACTTGTCAGTGATCAAGGATGGCATGCAAGAGACCGAAGCAGAAGCGCGGAAGGTAACATTCTGGGCCGTATTCAACCTAGAGACGTAAGTCGTAGTCCAGGCGACGCCATTCAAGAAAATGCCCAGACTCCATTCAGTCGAATACTGACCAGTACTTCAGAGCGTGCGCCGTATCATTCGGTCGACTCTCGCAGCTTCCCCGATCGGCCGCTGACATTGGCAGACCTTCTGCCAACATGCGGTTCGAAACGATGACTTGGCGCCCGTACGAAGACACGAACATGTCCATCAGCCCGAGTGCAGAGCAGCCCAGTCGTTCCATGCTCTTCGAAGACCAGCTGAGCAAGTTGTCGGAGATCACCAGCGACATGGTGAATACCTTCTACGCGCCCCGAGAACGTTTCACAGGTCGCCAGCTTGCCGCGACCTATAGCAAATACCAGTCGTGGTACCAGGAAATGCCCGACTGCTTTCGACTGGAGAATACGTCTTTGCCGCATGTGCTTGTCCTCCACATGTATTACTACGGCTGTGTGTTGCAGTAAGCCCCCCCGCCCCCCGGTGCAAGTATCTATTGTAACCCTGCTCTGACCAACGAAGCTTGTTCCGACCATACATCAAACTCGACCTCCGTGCTGCCAATCTCTATCCCCGCGACACTTGTACGTTCTGCGCCAATGAGATATCAGCGCTGATGAACGCCCTTCGAGCAATGTACGGTCTCCGCCGCGTGACCTTGATCGTGACCAGTCTTCTTCTCTCCGCCTCAACCATTCACCTCCTGAACCTCCCATCCGAGAAGGCCGCCGCTCATCTTTCCCAAGCTCTCCGCGACCTGGAAGCAATGTCGGTCAATCACTGTTTCGCCGCACGAGCAGTTGACATTATTCGCTCTCTGTCAACCAAATGGAACATCGCCCTCCCCGAGGGTGCCGCAGCAGTAGCGTTCTATCGCATGCACAACACTCCGCGTGATGCAACAGCTTCTCCACCTCCAAGCACTTTTTTTGCGGCTAGCATTACGCGCGAACTGGGACCCTCACGAACAAGCGAGAAACCTCCGCAACATAAATCTCCTTTCTCAATCCAGCATCAACAAGAACAACATCACCATCAGCAAGGTCTCACATCAGTGCCGGCCATCTACTCCGATCCCAGCATGCTTTTCGATGAGAACTCCGAGCAAATGGCTTATTGGACTCCTTTCCCGGCGCAAGTCATGCCGATTGCGCAGCATGATTTGGAATTGGGTGATTTTTCTGCATTGGGCGGAGCGCAGACGTCCAATTGGGCAATCTATGAAGAAGGCCAAGGCCATGTTGGCGGCAACACACAGCAACATGGATACATGGCGGGTCTTCGACATCAGAGTGACCCGGGACAGGATCACAACATGGGTGGATTGCAGGAGTGGGGTTGGGGTTGAAGAGGGTGAAATTGATGTGGTCATGCGTGACAATGCATGAACGATTGGGTAAGAGTGTGGGCATATGCTTTGCGAAGCGGATGGCTAGCAGCAAGCACCTACCTCGTTGTTGAGCTTGAAGTGCAGAAATCTGAGCCAACAAGCGAGGAGAAATGGCAGCATTCGCGACGTCATTCGCGACGTCGATCAGGGGTGCAAGAATGTGGCCAAGACCCAGCACTGCCGCAATGACAGAGCTGTTGCTGTGAAAACAGGCTCTGGAAGCAGGAATGCGAAGAAGAGAGAAAGGCTCAAAATCAATAAACAGCAAGTGTCGAAGACCATCAGAGGAAGAGGGGAATCGATCTTTACCAGAATTTCACTGCAGGACACCAGATCCAGAATTGAACCAAGCAGGAAAGAGTGAAATTGTGACATTGTCACTCACCGCGAGCACACGATCCATGACGCGGAAAGAGGGAGATGAATAAACGAAGGGGCCATTTCGGAAGATGTCTACCAGAGACCCCGATAGCAGACCGCTGTGTCCATACCAGGGGATTTGAGTAGTAGCAGCACCATATTATAGTATAGCATAGCGTACCTAGCATAGCATAGCATAGCATAGCATAGTGTAGCGTAGGAGATAGCGTAGCGACACCCTAGACTAACGATTCATCAGTAGGTAATCTTTTTCTTCTTTCTTTCGCGGCTCGGAGCCGGCCTTCGCGATGGATTCTCTTAATCTCTTTTGCTGATTACAACCATCAGCCTTACAAGGCCGAACGGGGCACGCAACTAATAATAGGACCTACCTAGGTGGTCTCTGCCTATCTAGTCGTTTTGCAGCTATAGCTAGCCTAGACTTAGCCTACCTACAGATACCTACATGCCTAGCTAAGTTAGTCAAATTTGGTTGGTTGGTTGTATGTATATAGCGAACTATCTACCTCCTAGTATCGGGTCGGAACATAGTATCATCACTGGGGTTGAGAGACAGAGAAAAGCTTGATATAGCTCGGCATTTTCCTTTTTTCTCTCTTACTCGCTCACTCGCTCACTCACTTGCTTACTCACTCTGATATCTCTGATTGCAAATTTCTTGGCGGGGGCGGGTATGTACGGATGGATGGATGAAGGGCGGGGATGGAATTGATTGATGAGGTGCGGTATGATTGTGGGAAGCGATGGCCTATAGGGAGGTTCAGGTACCTTACCTACCTAGGTATAGAGATGGATCACGTAAGCGATGGTGTTTACCTAAGCTATGCACACAGGCGCAAACACTACCTACATGTAGTTACCTAGGGCATGGTAGGTTTGGCCGCGGAGGATCGCAAATGGGCAGTCCACTGAATCAAATATTAGTAGAGGGAATAGGTCAATTTGATGAACCAACCCCACGCTACACCACAGTTCAGGATGTACATCGGTATGAGCAGAGGCGATCCTAACGTCATCTCTCTCTGCAGTAAGACAAAGACAGCTAAGCTCCCGTCTTCAACCACATACATCATCCCACCTCGTAAGCAGCATCACTGTATACCTTCACCCTTCCAGCTGCCCTCGCCGCCGCCAAAGTGTCTCAACAAACTCCTCTCCGCCTCTACGCCTCGGCCAGTACTGCCTTCAGAACGGCTTCGAACCAGCGACTCCGACTGCACGCCTTCTCCCGCCACTTCTCCGCCACTGCACCCATCATGGCTCCCATAGAAAAAGAGTGCGACTACCTCGTCATTGGTGGCGGCTCCGGTGGCCTCGCCAGTGCCAGGAGAGCCAGTGGCATGTATGGCGCCAAGACGATTGCCGTCGAGAACAAAAGACTGGGTGGAACGTGCGTGAACGTGGGGTGTGTGCCCAAGAAGGTCACTTGGAATGCTGCTGCCATGGCCGAGACGATCAAGGAGGCACACAATTACGGCTTCAGCGTCCAGCAGACAGCGCCCTTTGATTGGCCTCTGTTCACGAAAAAGCGAGCTGCATACATCAAGCGCCTCAATGGCATCTATGAGAAGAATTTGAAAAATGACAAGGTCGAGTATCTGCACGGAACTGCCTCCTTCAAGGATCAGCACACGGTGTCTGTCAAGCTGGATGACGAGAGCGAGGTGTCCATCAAGGCCAAGAAGATCCTGATTGCTGTGGGCGGGCATCCCAGCATCCCAGACGTCGAGGGTGCAGAGCACGGAATCACCTCCGATGGGTTCTTCGAGCTGGAACAGCAACCCAAGAAGGTCGCCGTCGTGGGTGCAGGCTATATTGCAGTCGAAATGGCAGGCATGTTCCACGCTCTAGGCACGGAAACTCATCTCTTCATTCGCCACGACAAATTTTTGCGAACGTTCGATCCTATGGTCCAGGAAAAGGTTGTGCAAGAATACGAGCGACAAGGCATTATTTTGCACAAGAACTCCAAGCAGACTAAGCTCGAGGATCTCCAGACCGGCGGCAAGCGTCTTACATACACCGATGACAACGGGGATGGTATTCTCGATGTGGACACGGTACTGTGGGCGATTGGGCGTGCGCCAGAACTCGAAAGGTTGAATATTGACGCCTCTGGAGTGAAGTTGAACGAGAAGAAGCACATCCCGGTCGATGACTACCAGAACACCAATATCCCTCACATCTACGCTCTCGGCGACGTCTGCGACAAGCAATATGAGCTGACACCTGTCGCCATCGCCGCTGGTCGCCGTCTCTCGGATCGTCTCTTCGGCGGGAAAGAAGATGCCAAACTGGAGTACGATAACATTCCATCTGTCGTCTTCTCTCACCCGGTAGTAGGCTCCATCGGCTTAACGGAGCCCCAAGCTCGAGAAAAGTATGGAGATGATAACATCAAGATCTACCAAGCGAGTTTCACGGCCATGTACTACTCCATGATGGAACCCGAGGACAAAGGACCTACCGCATACAAGCTCATCTGTGCCGGTAAAGAGGAGAAGGTCGTCGGTCTACATATCCTCGGTACGGGATCGGATGAGATTCTGCAAGGATTCGGTGTTGCCATCAAGATGGGAGCGACCAAGGCGGACTTCGATCGATGTGTGGCCATTCATCCCACGAGTGCCGAAGAGCTTGTGACGATGAAGTAGAAGAAGTGAGAAGAGAGGTACAGCTCGCTGGAAACTTTTGTTGTTGGATAGAAGGATACAACATAACAGTACTGATACCTCCCATCTCCTCTTCCTTTTTTTTAAAAAATCAGATCTAGATGGATGTAAAAATCACGTCCGGATTGATAGATTTTTGTTATCTGTACATATCGCTTTCAACAATCAATCAACCAATCGATCAGTCAATCAATCAATCAATGAGTCAATCAACCAATCACCCAAACATACATAATGGTACACTCACTCGATATTTTGCTACCTACCTTCCTTGGAGAGAAAGAAAGAAAAAAAAAACGAAGGAAAAAAAAAGAGAGAGAAGGCTGTAACATCATCTCTCTTTCATACAACTGTGATTGATAGACCTTTTCTTCCGACCCCACACAACAACCCGAGATCAAGAGAAGACGCAGAGAGCGAACCCAACAACACACACCCGTCGTCGGTAGCATACAGACCTACCTTACCTAGCTAGGTAGCTGACTCGTCCCGCTGTTAACCGCGGGTGCGTTCTCACATCATTCCATCTCGACATCACCGTCCTCGTCCATTTCTTCTTCTTTTGCTGCTTCGTGTCTCGGCACACCATTCGGCTCCACTGGATGCCCGTTCATCTTCTTCAGCTGCTCTCCTCCTCCTTCTACGAACGTCTCCTGCAACTGTCTCTCCTGCATCCTCATCTCGGCTTCATCATCAGCCTTCGCCATCAAGAATCCTTGAACGTCCCGCACAGCCTCGGCAGCGATCTGGTCCAGTTCCCGATCACTAACATAACTAGCCAAGATTTCATCCTGGTTCTGCAAATCGTGTACAATAGAATCCAAAAGCTCCGGTTCAGGGAATCGGTAACTAATATCCTCGGCTCGACAAGCAGCACCAATACATTCTGAAGGAGTCAATATCCGGATTTGCGCATCCGTTTTCGTCGTGATGCCGGAATCAAGGACGCGATGAAGAGTTTGCCACAGGAAAGAGGACTGAATGGCACTCTTGCGTTCTTCGTCCGATTTCTTCTTGGTGACTTGAAGTTCTGGTGCAGTCCAGTCGTCGTAAATATATGCGCGCTTCCAGATGAGAGCAAGCAGTGTCTCGAAGCGCGAGGGCGGGAGTGTGGAAGCTGCAGCATCAAGCGCAGTCAAGGCAAGTAGCGTTTCCGAGCCTTGGAGGTTCTCATCGTGCGTAGGATCTATGACAATAGTCATGAGAGTGAGAGTGTCAATCAGCTCCTCGACGTCAAGGATACCGTGTTGTACCACGTTCGCGATGCCATGCTCCAGTATTTGTGCCAATGCTAGGTCCTCTTCCACGTGGTTGCCGTACCTATTCATACAATTCACGACTTCGGCTTCAAAGTCGAGAGACCGCTCAATCTCTGGCTTGAGGTGCTTGTAAAGTCGTTCCTGCACCTGTACAATTGCGAGTTCGTCACTCGCAGATCGCAATGGATTAACGGTGCCGTTGATCTTCAGCTTCGCACGCTGGTCCAAAGGACCTGCTTCCTCTGCAGCAAGCAATGCAAGCTTAGAGAGAGATAACTCAACTCTCTTACTCCAGAGTTTCTTCTCTTGTCCTTGGGCACACTGCACAAGAGCTTCACTGGCATGGGCGTAATCTGATTCTGCCGTGATATCGTTGATCCAGCATAACTTGGCTCTGTCTGAATGCCCTCGCAGGTATTCAGTTAGAGGCTGTTGCCACTCCTGCTGGGCTCGAAGCAGCTTCACGCCTGGAGCGCCGTTATCAAAAAGCTTGTCAAAGAAGGCATCCGACCAGTCTTTCTGGTACTTGGTGAAATACCGCTGGATCTTCTGACGTAAATCTGTTGCAAATTGCACAACTTGTTCCTCGAGTGCATTGTGCTCTTGAGTATAGTCTTGCAGATATTGATCCTCTGCGATGATCATAACGGCCAGGGTATGCATATCTCTGTACTTCTCAGCGAGGAGCATACCAGCATCGGCTCTGCCTACATCTGCCAGCACACGGAACTGCTTGTAGCGCTCGCGATCGTACTCTTCTTTCATCTTTTTCGAGAGCTCTTGCAGTCTCCTGTCGTCGCGTGAAGCATACCAATTGATGCTCTCTTGAGATTGCAAACAATATATTTGCACCAGTCGTGCGTTGTTGTCAGCAACTTCTTTCACCATGTTGTGTACCTCCTGGTCCACTTCCTCGACTTCGAAATGCTTCTTCGCTATGGCTCGTGACAAGCTTGCGACCCGCAGGGTGTTGTCCACGAGCTTCGGTGTCGATGTCCAGAACTCCGAGATCTCAGTGTACTCAGATGTGTCGACCAAGACACCATCGTCGATGTGCTCAGGCAATATGCCGTAGTCTGCGCAGTGTTCAGATCGGAAATTGAACGCGGTTTCAAGTGCTCTAAGCCAGATATCGTCCGCCTGGATGACGCGCTTGAGACCTTCCGAAGGGGAGCAGTCTTCTTGCTCGTAAAAGTCTTGCAGCAACACTCGGAGATTGGTGAGAAGCTTTTCCATGTGATGTAAGCCGCCCGAGAAGAAGCGTCGCACGGTGTCTTCGCTGGCTAGATCAGGCCTCTGGTAGAAGGCAAAACCTTCCTCGAACCACGATGTTAGCTCGTCCATGACTGTTGCCTTCCTCTTCTCGCCCTTACTCGTGAGAGCAACGTGTTCTTCGAAAGCAAGCCAAAGCTGCTGCCCAGCTGCCAACTTCTCGGCGTCCCAGAGAAGCCGCCACATGGTCTTCGTGGGGAGTGCTGGGTATGTTCTGATGACGAATGTGACGAGTGCCTTGAGTGCCCTAGCTTTGGTCGCAAGTCCTGTTTCCATCGAGGCCGGTGTAGGGGAAATGATGTTTGGGAAGCTTGTTTCTGAGCGAAGAATCTCACCCGAGATGTCCAGGGCCGCCTGCTCGACCTCCTCGATAGTATATTCGGATCCCCGTTGCATCGAGAAATCTACAATATTATCCTGCTGTAGAGAGCCATGGAACACAGCTTGCTCAATCCTGCTTCTCGCGGGTATTCGTGGTCCGCCAGGCGCCGTCTGAGTATCCAACGCAGAAATGCGGACGAGGCCGGCGCCTTTGACGAATGCTACGATCGAAGCATTACTCGCGCGTGGTGCTTCCTCACTGACGCTGAGAAAGGCGAGACTCTTGCCAGGCTTCAACCGTATGGCATCCTCGAACGGATCCTGCTGTACGTATGATGCATGTAATTGAGCCTCGGGGCTGTCGTCAAGCAAATCGGTTGTGGCAGCAAGTATTGCGGCGTCCTCGAACGCGACGTAGAATGTATGGCCCGGCTTTGGCAGGATCAGACGGGGCTTCTGCTGAGTCGAGACAGGTCCATCACTTTTGTAGCGGAGTTGGTGGATACGCTCAATGCAGTGGCTGCCATCTCCGGGAAGTGATACCTCTGCCACCACATACGACTGCATGTCCGAGGCGCCCAGTCTCAGCAGAATGAAAATATCCAGCGGCTGCTCCGCCGATGCCGACACTAGAGCGTCACTGCTGGAGTCCGCCTGCTTATCCGAAATGGCAAAGTCCAGCGCGACTGCATATTCCGCTTGTCCTGCCAGCTCCGGCGCTATCGTGTCTCTGAGTTCCCTCACGAGCGAGTCTCTCAATTCCAAATTGGAAATGTAGTCCGATCGTCCAGACCACTCCAGGTCCCATAGTAACAATTCCGCCTTTTCTGTCAATCCAACAACCTGCACAAGTCCACGTTTCGCAGCCCTTGTGCGCACTGCCGTCAAGTCTCGGCGGTAGTCTGCTTTGAAGAAGCTACTGAAGCTGCCGAATGCACCTCCAGACGCTGGCTCCAAGATTCTCAGAAACTCACAAGTTACCTTGGGCGACCCTGCGTTGTCCTTTAAGCTGAGCGCCAGAACCCTTCCGGAACTAAGATTTACCACAAATGTAGCATACGCGGCAGGTACGATGTCCGTCACCATCTCATTACTGTTGAGAGGTATCGTGCCCTCCACGCCTGACCGCTTTCCCCGGAATAGACCCAACGAGCTCGCACGATCGATAGACTCGTAGAAGGCCACTCTCCCGGTAGTGGTAGAAATGAGGACAAGGCCCAAATCATGATGTCCGATGGTGTTACTCGGCACCAAAGCTCCAAGCGGTAGTTCTCCAACGCGCGTTGGGAAGGGCATGTCGAATACGCGCGCATTACTCGCAGCAACATGCGCATTGTACTCCCACACGAGAGCTTTCTTCTCAGTAACAGCTAGTGCGTGTCCGTCTAAGATGCTGCCTCGATATTGCAAGCCTTCTTTCTTCAGCTCTTTCGGTGTACTAGGGAGCAATTTGGCGCTATAGCACTGATTCGAACATAGTGTAGTGGCGCCATCTGCTCGGTGCACCCTCTTGACAGTACCTTTCTTACCACCGCGCACCGGAATATCTCCTTCGAGCATCGAAGCTGTGCTCCCTGCCCGGCGGTGTTGATGAGGTGGATGATGATGACCGTTCCCGTTCACCTTCACGGCAGCAGTCGCGGTTTCAACACCGACGAAAGTGTGGTGACCGTTGAGCCCCCCATGCTCATCACCATTACCATTATGGAAAGCGCTGTTAGCGCGGCCGTTTTCATGATTGTCGTTCGTGGTGACAGGTGCAGGAGGAGGTCGCCCTTCAGTCGAGTCTCTGGGCGCGTACGTTTCGGTGCTGATCTTACTGCGCTTCCGACGCGGCGCAGCTTTCTGCAGAGTGTCGTTATCACTCTGTCGTGCTCTTCGCCGAGGGTTTCGCGCTGTTGTGGTGGTGGTGGTGGTGGTTGTCGTTGCTCCCCCGATTGCAGCAGCTGAGGATCGTGTGATGCGCTCGGTCGCAGGCTCGGGCGTATGGGAGGTGGCCATGATGATTGCGAGTATCTCCAATCATGCGGCAGGGGGACAGGTGGAGCGTGTTCGAGGCAGGGCGAGAGAGGGCGGTCGAAAGGGCGCTCGGTGGATGATGATTATGCTGTGTTTACACCGCGGGTTGTAGTTTCGAGACGAGGCCCTTCTTGATCCAATGTTTTAGGCGCGACTCACATCTCCGGCTATGTCCGTCAGACTTTCACTTTTTGGGCCACCAGTGAAGGCGAGGCTGATTACTCAGCAGAGTCGTGTGCTTAGGTAAGGTACATGTACTGATGGAAAAGTCGCTGGAAAGTGAGTGTGTTGAATCTGTTGATTGTGTTCTACTCTCGCTCTACCTTCTACCTACGCGCATAACGCAGGGACCTTTGTTGCCTTTTCACCTACAATCCCATCAACATATGCTAAGAACGTAGCCAGCGGCACCATATCCATAGTCCCAAAGGCAGGATGACTACTCCTGAGTACTCGTCCTCCCCACAGCACTCTCAGGAAGTAGCATCCTTCCTTGCTATACAGCTCGAACACCACTTCTGATCCCATTCCTGGCCAGACCATTCTATCAAGCTGCAGAATGCTCAATACACGTGCCACACTACCATCATGTGCTACATTATGCCTGTACTTCACACTCCGACGTCCAGCGCCTACCTGTCGCAAGTTCGCAGCGAGTTCAGCAACCCAAACACCATAGCTTCCCACACTTGCTGCCAGACTTTGTGATGCATCGCGATATAGGAAAGAGTATTCATATTCACCAAGCCGGAACACCGTGTCCGCTTCATCCTGAGCGACACAATCCGAAGCAGAATTGAGATCACAAGGTAGGGGCTTCTGATGACAAAGTCTTGCAGATAAATTGTCAAAGTAGTGATCGAAACTCTGATGCCAAGCAGTGCTGTTTGGATCTACGCCACTCAAATGGTCCAGTCGCTCGAACAGAGCCGTGGACTCGGTCAAGTGCGCTGTCCAGTTTGGTGCATTCGAGCCGACGCCGTAACTGCTGAACAAAGCTGATGAAGCAGGACAGCTGTATTTTGGTTCGAGACTATCGATTGAGTTGGCTTGAATAAGGAGAGATGTATCCTCGCCAGCTTGAGCTGGATACATGCCTGCTATAAGCATTGAAGCCACTTGCGATGTGATTACGTTGTTGGTGACACGGTAGGTGGTGATTTCTGAGTTAAAGTCGGCAGGAATGAAGTGCAGAAGTCCACAGTATACGGCTTTGAGGTCTACACCGTGCTGATGCGAGTCGTCAAGACCTTGACGTGTTATTTGTGGAAATTGGCAAGATCCGCTGAAGCCTTTTTGTGGGAAAGGATTATTTTCGCTTGTAAAGACGCTCCAATACGAGGCAGCTGACAGATTACCAGCTGGATCGAGAGGTTTGCCTCCGTAGAAGAGGCCTTGATCTGAGCAGTCCCAGGAATAGCCCTCGACTGGAAAAGTGTTGTCGGCATAGGGAGTGCGCTTGTGGTGTCGATGGATTATCTCCACGTATTCGAGCGTGTAATCTTCAGGCGGGGTTTCGTACGTTGTGGGGTTGACATGTGGCATATTGCACCAATTGTAGACGGTGTCAGGTGGCGACTGAGAAGTGTTGAAGACAAAGCCATAAGTCCCCGTGCCGTTCAGAACTGAAGTCAGGTTGTTCACTGCATATTGCGCAGGAGGATACCATGCGGTGCTGACATTGGTCATGGCGGTGCATTGTGAACTTTCTCCTTGGGATTGAGCGCTGCATAGGCCAGCTAGTGCGCAAGCTGCAGTGGAGAATGCTGGGAGCTGCCCATAATAGTTCATGGCGGCAGAAAGGACAGTCTGGGCAGTGAGCATCATGAAGAGAACGACAGCGAGGGTGGTATAAGAGAATCGATAGGGCTACAGGGGTCGATGTCACTTGGTATCCTTCGTGCGGGTCGGTAGGTATTAGGTAGAGACAGATGTTGGGTTGTGCAAATGAACATTTCCCTGACCCTGTGCCGAGGAGGGCGTGGGCGCCTTTCGAAGAGTCATTGGTCGGAGACACGACCTGGTCTACGACGGCTGCTCACGACTGTGGGAGTCGGAGATTTTGAAGCCAGATGTAGGCGATACTGTCAATATGGATGCCGCAATGAAGGAGTGACAGGACCTTGTTTCGGCGATGGGATGTTGTAGACGAAGGAGTCTTGGAATAGAGGTGAGGTTCATGGTTGAGGCTCATCACCGCATTTTTATGTAAGTCCTTAGTCATCTAGGTCCAAATCATCCAGGGGTGCTCCTTCTGTAGGTAAGGTAATCCTGGTAAGGTACCTAGAGTCTAGAGACAGTGCGATTGCCTGAGAGATACATGTAGGTATCGTCGACATATACTTACCACTTTCACCTCTACCGTACTGTAGAAGAGTTACGTTGTCGCCGGCGAGATAGCTAGAAGCGCCGACATGCGCAAGAGTCAAGGAGCAGGACACTTTCAAAGGACACTCGGAATGACTAAGCACGTATAAGTCATAGTCCGGCGTATAAGTTATAGCTCGGCGCGGATTAATATAGTTCCGGTTGACCTTACTTCCTATATAGACCTTTCCTACAATACCTACAATACCTACAATACCGGATATCTTTACTTAGATGTAACGATATGTATATATATACCTCTCTAATTGCTTCTATACACTTATACTAACACTACACTACGATATTACCAAATTCGGACTATAAATGCGCGAGATACGGCAAGCACTATAACGAACTACGAAACGAACTACGAAACAACGGTAACGAACGATCCGAACGCCCTATTTGTTAATAACACCGATATAACCGATATTACCGAGCAATTAAGCCTACTAGACCTATCTTTACTGTTTGAAACGCTACCGAACGGCTTCCGCCGTATTAAGATATTAGAAGAGATATTCCCTAATCGAGTACTATTAACTAATTAAGAGCTATTAACTAATAAAGAGGAGGACAGTTACGATCTAGCGTAGAATAATACTAGTATACTTAACGAGTTACCTACGCCGGACGATCCGATTAGTCTACGGATATAGCCGTACTAAGGCAAGCGTACCTCTAATACTATTATAATCGACGATTCTACGGTCGATTCTACGGTCGACGATAACGCCGGTAACGAGTCCTTATTGCCTAAATACCCTACCTTACGGTAGTAGTAGCCGGCGGCCGTAGTAGTAACCGTCGGTAAAGGACGTACCGGCAAGAAGGTTAAAATTTAGTTACTATCCGTCTTCTATATAGAATTGCCGGTACCGCGGCTACGTCCGACGTAGATTCCGTATTCACTACTTACCGAGAGCCGTATACCGGCCGTCCGCGAGTTTATCGACACTATAGATCTACGCTATTACGAGTATCTACGTACCGGCGAGATATTCCGAAATCCAGACTATTATAAGGCTAGGCTATAGGATTATACGTTTAGTAAAGGCTTTGCAGTTGTCTATACGTCTAGTAATATAGTCCGAGCTATATATAAGTGTATTTACTATAGAACTACTACTAGAAACTTTGACGGCTTCGACGATTATATAGGCGACAATAGCGACGATAAGTTACTTAATCTACGCGTTCGTAACGCGAGAAATATACGATAGAGGGGGTACGGTTAGAACTACCGACTAAGTTACGTATAAGTAAGGCAAGGCACGACAATTAAAGAGTAGCAGCTAACTGTAAATTCACTCGACTACTTATACGAATTAGCGCTAAATCCGTCCGTTTACATAGTTTACGAGATACGTATACCTAGATTCGGTAAAGCTCTAGCGCAGGCCGCGTAGTATCGACTTACGAACGAATTATATAGTACTATATACCGACAGCTCTCGTTATACGAACTCTAACTCAATCGTAAGCGTTACTATAACCTAGCTAAGGGTAATACCTTCTATAGTGCCGGTAACGCCGAGACTATTATTAACGCGCTGCTCGGTATACTTATTACGCTCGGATTCGAATATAAGGGCCGTTAGTTATTTACTACTAATCTATAGACTAGTAGTACTACGCGGGCATTACTTAAGCAGCTTGTCTACTAGTAGCAACGTATAGCGCGCTTTACTACGCGATTCGTACTAGATTACAGCTTCTAGATAGACGCTACGTTTAGTACTAATCGTGCCGGGCTGTTACTTAGGGTATTTATAGGGGTTACTAATACTAGACGGTTATTTCCGATATATTATTTACTAATAAAGTTAGAGAGTAAAGAGGACTAGCTATTTATACTACTTGTCGTATTCAACAACTATTTATATAACTGTCGACTTAATAAGGTAATTATCTTAGATGCTAGAGCCGGCCTAATTGCGGCTATTCCGGAGTTACTATTTTAGTACTATATTTAGTAATTCTGTTAATAGTACGCTGTTCAAAACCTTTACAAGCGTATCGATAAGGGTACCGTACGCGTAGTACGTACCGAGGCCGCCGATAGTAAGGTATACTAGGCTGCTATTGTAGCTGCTAACGACGAACCGACCGTACCGACGGAATCGACTATACGAATCGACGCGCTAAGACGTATACGAGCTCGTAAACCAGGCTATAGCGCCGAGCAGAAGACGGAACTAAAAGCGCTTATATAGCTATAGCTATAAGCGGATATAGCCGAAGCTACCGATAAACTCGAGGCGGCTATTATCGACGGAATAATAGCGGAGGATACCGAGTACTTCCGTAATACGTACGTCGTTATTAAGCATCGACTAGTTACGTATTATATTAAGCATTTACCGAATAATAGAGCTCGCTCGTTATAGCGCGCGGAACGCGGTAATCGCGGCGTTAAGGGGTATCTGCCGCCGTACTTGTTACTAGAACAGTACGTTAAGGATATTAAGCAATATCTAGATAAGCTGTTTAATAATCTAGAACGATTAGAGGAAAATACGTATACTAGCTTACTACTATAGGCCGTAGCAGCCGATAACCTCGGTTACTTCGTATAACTTAACGGCTAATATACGATATAGACAATTAACAGGCTGCTAGTTTTATAGTATAACGCTCTCGGCATTAAACGTACGGTAGACAAGGCTAATTATACGCGCTCGGCAGTAACGGTAGAGCTATATCTAGTATACGATTACTATACGGAATACGGGGAAGTTAAACAGTATAGATTGCTATATAGCTATATACTATTACCTACGGTAATTAAGCGGAAGGCGATTGCCCGTAGTATACTATACCTCCGTTACTTTACGAGCAACCGTTCCGTTTACGCTAGTAACGCCGTATAGTAGACGCTAAGATAGCAGAATTAATACGACGCCGTAACGGATAGACTATAAGAGTTATTACTATAATATACGGATAGTTATAATCGTATACAGGCTTCTATACTACGCTAGTTAAGTTACTTACTATTACTACGAGCCGCGGACTATAATACCTACGTAGACAAGCTTAAAGCGTTCGAAGCCGTCTATTTAACCGGCCTATAGGCTACTTAAAGTAACCGTTCTAGGCCGGAGGAAATACTATTTATAGTACCTACGAAACCGGCTTAGTATCTACTACTACCGCAGTTACCGAAACGTAGTAATAAGACGACTAATAGGCTTATAACGAGCGTAGAGGTAGCTAGTAAAGATGTAGCATTAGCCGAGAAGGCTGCTACCGTCGCGTTACGCGCCGAATTCGCGGCTTAGTAGCGTACTATCGTAGCCGACGCACTATAGACAGCCGAAAGTAATAAGTTAGTAGAGGTTAATACTACTATACGAGGACGTAGCCGTAGACATAGACGTAGACGTAGACGGCCGCGCGGACGCGGCTACGGTGTTATACGTAGTAAATCTGACGGTTTAGGGTTAGGTAACGGTCGTACAGTCGAGACTAACGACTTGGCGTTAGGTAACGGTCGTACAGTCGATAGTAACGCGACTAGGGGTCGTTAGACGCATAATATAGGGCGTAAAGTAGTAGATTATACAGTGTTGAACGGTGCTTTGCGTAGGTAGTTAATATATATATATTAGTAGCAGTAAGTGATGTTCAACCGGAACTACGTTATTCCGTACCGAGGCTTACTAAGCTTCCGAGTGTCCTTTGAAAGTGTCCTGCTCCTTGACTCTTCGCCGACATGCAAACGGAATGGGGTGCATTCTCGCTAGATCTAGCGTCGCCCAGGCCAAATGCTCCTGCCGCCGTCATCGTGGCGTCGTTGGATATGCTCACAGGTGACAGCAGGTAACTGCCATGTCATGCTTCTTCGAGTGCTCGCGTAGGTAATGTACCTATCTTAGTGGACATTCTGCTCAAACTGCACGACCTGCCTACCTGTACCTACCTACCTGACCTTACCTACATGTACTTGACCTTACATGTACCTCCTCTTTACCTTGGTTACTATGCCACAGCAGTGACAACAACACCACCACCACCACCACCAACAACAACAACACGACATGTACTAATAAGGTACTGACGTCGCGTCAACCTGGAGGCGCGTGTGAAACAGGCACAGGAACGCACAGACATGATGGCCCCAAATCCAATCATGATCCGCCGGAAACCAGTCCGGCAGTCGATATACGAAGAACCGACGAGACGCCACGCGCCAGCTCCCGGACGGGGCTACCCTGTTCCTGTGAGTGTGCTGTCGAGTGCCTTCGTGCTACTGCTGCTTGCCACCGTCTCGTGGTCGCGAAGATGGACAGTCTCAGGCGCCGCAGTCGAGAGTGTCCTGCTGGTCTGCGGCTCTGGCCAGCAGAAGAGAATCCTCTCCGCCATCCCCTTGTGGACATTGCTGGCCACGCTGAATCTGGTCTATGCCATCTGCTCGACCTCATGGCTGCTATACGGCTTGTTCACGATAGCAATATACCCATTCATCCTGCTCACATGCCTCAATCAATTCCCGCGAGCTGCGAACATGGCCAGAGCAGGCCTGCGAAAGGTGCTAGGAAGCCAGCCGCACTTTGTTAAGGACAAGTTGGGCATGTTTGACTTACCTGCCCTGGAGATTGACACCACAGTCGATGGCCTGTTCGTGATCCGAGGCGTCACCATGTCCTTCTCGACCCTGACTCTGGTGGCCCATGGCATGGAGCTAGGTAGGTCCAAAGCTGGGTGGCTGTCAGTGCTTTACTAATGGAAGTCCGTAGGCCTCAAGCTGGCCGATGACATCGAGCTGGCCATATATGTCGATGAGGTGACAGTCAGCTTCTTTAGGCGCATCGAGATCGGCGACGTCTACGCCAATGCTAAAGGCGGCAAATTCGAGATGACATTCGGCGACTTGGAGGAAGACAGTGACGATGCCGCCAGCGAGTTCAGTGTCCTGCTTGACGACACACCGCTGCTCAAAGCAGCCGCGGCAAAATCCAAAGGACTCCTCGACAGGCCCAAGCTGAGAGAAACATTGACTGGCGTCAGCTTCATGCGGGATTCGTCACTGCAGCAAGTGGCAGACCACATTCAGACGATGGATCCGGAGAATGAGGCTGCGAACCAACAATATCAGGACAAGCTAACCGAGATCCGGACTTCCAGCGCAGTATACCAGTCGAGACAGCGAGCACGCCAGAAAGCTAAGAGCAGCGGCCGCAAAATGGACGACGAGAAAGACATGCGTGCTGCTGTATGTGCGGAACTTCAAGAACTGCCAGCTGTGCCACACCCCCCAAGAAGATCTATTCGTGTGACTACTCTCCAGAACTCCTCGCCAGAATATGTGCGCCGATTCCTGCATCGCCTCCCGTTTCTCCTGAGAGCCTTGTTGGCCCCCCTGAGTTACTTTCACACCGTGAGTGTATCCAGCGTCAACGCGGCTGGTTCCGGAAAGTGGCTGTCTACGCTGTTACAGCAACAGATCTTCAAAGAGTATACGGAGAACAACGCTTCGCTTCGCCGACTACAGCGCAAGGTGTCGACGTGGCTTGCCGATGCAAATTTCTGTGTGCAGCTGACCGACATCGATGGCATGGGCTCAGTGCCATGGAGCACAGCCTACAATATCGTCACGTACCTCAAATTCGACGACGTCGTGGCATTTCGCACCATGCCAGAGTCTGGCGTGTCGTCGCAGGTGTTACGTCTGGGTGGCGCTGATGCTACATTTTCCATTCCATCATACCTGCTCCCTCATCATGAGCATATTGTGCCGCCGAAGCCAACGCACGAGGCCGAGCACGAACTTGAGGAAGAGATGCACGAGGCTGATGGCACGCCAAAGACGGTACAGGCCGCACACGATCTCAAGCGGCTCCAAAAAGATGAAACCAACATAGAGCTGTCTGTCCACGGCAGTTTGCCGGTCGCATGTGATCAGAGCTTGCTCAACTTCATCGCGTCATTGGTCAAAGCCACGAAAATGATCGAGCTCGAAAAGACGGTGGCGGAAGTACAGGCACAACCAGTCGACAGTCCCATGTCACCACTCTCGCCAACATTCGACAACAACGACGATAGCGAGTCGGTTTCATCCTTGCCGAGTAAAGCCAATTCCGATAACAGGTCGGAAACCAATGTCAGCATCAAGGAAGTCGCTGGGTTCAAAGTTTTCGCTAAGCACATCCGACAGAATTTGAAAGACGGCACGACCAAAGCACAAATCAAGGATTTCGCCAAGGACCTCCACCAAAATGCCAAAGATGGCATGAAGAAGGCCGCGGTGGGTGGCTTGGTCAATGATCGGTGGATTGCAGTCTTGGTGGGAAAAGTGGCAGCGGGACTGCAGAAGGCGCAAGGAGATGTGGGCTACAGTGGTAGCATTCCCATCCCGCTGGCACCATATCGCAATACGGAGCATGGGGATTTGGCGAAGATTTTACCTTGAATCACAGACACAGTACCTTGGCAACTACAGTAGCTCTTGACAGACGTCCATACTTGCTGAGGCCCTTGTCTTATCAGATTTTGCTTCTATTCTTCATCTCTTCTACATTCTCTCTACCTCTCTCTCTATCTCCTTCTATCTCCTTCTATTTCTCTCTTTTTCTGTGGTTTTTATAAATGGCGGGCGATTTTTCTCTAAATAGCAGGCGCCCCAAATATATCCTACAGGCTTGCCTGCTAGAACGACTGCCAATTTCGAATATAAGTGTACGTACGGGCGTACGTATATATTAGGTATATAGATATTCTATAACTACCCATTCTTCATCTTCTTCCTAGTTATTGCCCTAGGCATCTCTATCTCCTCCTCCTCGTTTTAAATACCTAAGTACCTTAGAGAGTGCTTTTTGCTAGGAATGTTCAGAGTGAAAGATCTCTTTATACTACCTAGGTAAGAATTAGCTACGCAGGCTTGGCGGTGGGTGACTGGGGCGCTCTCTCTCTCTCTCTCTCTCTCTCTCTCTCTCTCTCTCTCTCTCTCTCTCTCTCTCTCTCTCTCTCTCTCTCTCTTTTTTCTCTCTCCCTCCCTCTCTCTTTTTCTCTCTCCCTCTCTCCCTCTCTCCCTCTCTCCCTCTCTCTCCCTCCCTCACACACACACACACACACTCAATACTTAGTATTACGCTTGTTTTTTCTTAGAGATTAAAAAAACAACTTCCGCCATATATCAACAAATCCTCCCTCTCAAACCAGTTGTTGCCCTTTGTTCTTTCCCTTCTATTATTTAACCCCCCACCCCCCGGGAAACAACAACCCCATCCATCAAATCACCTTCAACCTCGCAAAAAGATCCACAAACTCTTCCGGCACCGTCTCCTGCTCCCCATTATCATTCCCCTTCCCATCCCTCTTAACCGGCTCATGATATTTGCATCTCCCAAACGCGCACACATAATGCAATCCGCGCGGCGTAGTCGTAACGACATATCTTCCCGAGACTTGCAAGCGGCAGGGAAAATCGCACAAACAATGTGGACCATCAAAATTAATACCGCGATCATCGAGGAAAGTGATGAATTTTTCGCAAGGCATACATTTGAGATAGGGCCGTCCGGCATTTCCGTTGCGGTTGCTGCGTCGCGTGACGAATCTCCTCAGGTACGGATATGTCGCGTCGCAGCTGGAACAACGGGGGAGAGGGATGGAGGCGCGGCGACGAAGAGAGGAGGTGGCGCTGCTGCTGCTGGTGGAGGCTTGTTGTGTCACTTGAGCCTGTTGCTTTTCGGGGGGACTGGAGACCCGGGTTGGTGAATCCTGTGGACTTGGCATTGGTAGGAGTCGTGCAGGGTTTGAGCTCTGTTGGAATACATGGACCCTGGATATTGCGATGAAAAATGCTTGGAGAGAGCTGCCAGAGAGAGTCGCTAGGAAGCAAAATTGGGTATATTTATACGTCTCCGGGGGCGTGCGGAAATCCAATGGTTTATAGCTTCTACGATTACTGAGTCATAAAGTCAGTTGAATTGTATGGTACCATAATTCCTTCTCTACCACAATACCTTACTGATTCCAACCCGGAACCAACGTATCAGCACTCACGACGCGTAATTCGCCTCGGTCAATAGAATGCCTAGATATTCAGATGATCTAGTCCTTACACCTTGAGGACATCTTGAGGACACCTTGAGGACACCTTGAGGACACCTTGAGGACACCTTGAGGACACCTTGAGGACACCTTGAGGACACCTTGAGGACACCTTGAGGACACCTTGAGGACACCTTGAGGACACCTGACCGAGTACTTGATTAGATCCACGGATCAGAGAAGAGGTAGCCTTTGGGGCTGGGTTAGTTCTGTATCGAAGTGCAGATATTTAATATGTAACATGAATGGTGTGATGAAGTCACAAGCACTCGTGATAGCATCCGAAAGGTCTCACGCTCTTCATTCAATCCAAAGGTCCACGATCGCGGTATTTATCGGTTGGCATGCCTGTAATGAGAACCGCGGCTATGGCCATGGCGGCGGAGTGGGTGGTAGAGAACAATATGCCAAGCTGCTCAAGATATTGTCTGTGGTGGTATGCAGGGATTAGTGTGCCAAGCTGCAATCGAGATGCCGCTGTATCTGGCGGCTGGCCTGGCCTACCTCCTACCTTAAGCTTCTTGCTCTAGATAAATCAATACAGAAATGCGCTTAAGCGTAGCTCTTTAATACTAGATGTACGGATCAATACGGGAATGATGGATTGTGTGTTGTACAACAAATTTGCGTCGAAATTTCACAGGCCCTGTTTAATTGGCGTTGGCATAGATCTATACGCGTCTGAAATTCTCTTCCATCTTCGTCCTGAATCTATTCAACGCTCGCACAACTCCATCTATATGTAAGGTACCTGCTATGCTACGGGTTCTCACATATACTGTGCAGGTTGACAACCTGTACCACAGCAGGTAGCCGCGTTCATCTGCCTGATTGCTGCCGCCGCTGCAACTGCCTACACACCGACAATTCGACAAACGACGAGGTAGCTCCGGTGCTGTATAGGATGATCTATTGAACAACACACCATTCTACTGACGACACGGCGTAATGCAGGACGGTTACTCACCGACGTTGCAAACACTCTCACACCTCTTTGTTGGCACACCTTATAACTACCTGACCTGACAGTTCAAAGTCTTGTCCCAGCGCCATCCCTCCTGTCCTTCACGGTGAACAGCACTTTCTTCTCCCAAAATGCTGATACCCGCTCCTGTCAGACTGCGCTACTGGTTCTATCCAATTGGGAACACTCCTGCAGTGAACTTGCTGAGAGACCGACCTCCTTCGGAAGGGTCAGCAACGAGAATTCTGTGCCTTGCTTGTGGCGACGTCAGGAATATCCTCTTCACACTGTCAACAGAGGCACCATCTGCAAATCGCTCGTATGAATGGGCCTTTTGCGACTCTGAGCCGGCCGTGCTGGCTCGGAATGTCTTTCTTCTCGCTTTTCTGGCAGCAAGGCCATCCAAGGGTAACGAGGCTTCAGAAGTGGACCACCTATGGGAGCTCTACTATCACGTATTCATTGGTTCCGATGCGAAGAAGATGCTCGCACGGCACGCGGCACACCTGATTGAGGCATCGAGATCAAGCAACGAGTGGAACAAGTCGCGTTACGGCGTGGCAATCAGGTTTTATAGCGAAAGTACCTTGCAAGAGATGCGACAGTACTGGCAGCACTATTTGGACGCCTGTACTGATGACAAAGAGCGCGAGATCAGGGACGCTGCGCAGGAAATGGTGAGACAGTACCGACTTGATGAGGGCCGCGTTTTTCCCGGTGGCACACGAGCCACAGGAGTACATGCCTTATCGTCTTCTCTGGTCATGAGTGCGGCCTTCCGTGCTTACTGGAAGACCGGCGTGGTTGCAGGGAACAGCAACGATTGTTCTGCCCTGAAGCACGATGGCGGCGGGCACGCCAACCCCCTGATGTACGTTTCATCAGCGCCATTCGGCCAGTTCGCGGTTCACTACGGCACAGATCCCCTCCATGGTTTTCATCTGGCTGAAGTGTTCGATGCGCCGGGAGGAGAACCAGACATGCTGCAACGATTAGCCAGAACCGCAAAGTCGCAATTTCGTGAATGGTGCGCAAGCTTTACAAAACACATTCGAATGGGAGGTTTGCGCATGTTCTTCCATTGTGGCGAGGCCGTTGGCATGTGCTACGAGCTCCAAAGTCAAGCAAAAGGTCCATGTCTCTTCGAGGTCCCGCCACATCTGCACACCTATTCACGTCCGTGGTCGAGCTCGTGCCTCGACCTCAGTCTGGGACGAGGCATGGACGCATGCTCCTCCTTCGACGTGATCGACACCTCCAACATAAGCGACCATGTTGGCATATTGAACTTGATACCTGCAATTCAACCTCTGTTGAACGATAGCGCCCTCTCAGTACTTTACACAGAGACTCTGCTGCTTGCTGCCGAAGAAGCCACTCGGTACCTTGACGAGCTCTTGCGAGTGGATGTGGTATCGTTTGGACTCGTCGCTGGCATCGCACCCACAGCGTCTCTTTTGGGAATTACGAGCGAACATTTCGGCTCCGAAGCCCTTCTGGGTCATTATGGACGTAACACAGGAGGCCAGTCCCAAATGCGTATGCGCATCTCGTGGAAGAAGCCTTCCGGAGGCGATTGCTTGGCAGCACCGGTTGTAGCGCCCCTGGTTCTCGCCGATGCAGATGATATGGCCTCTTTGCTCTTCCAATGGTATCTCAACATGTTCGCTGCATCGGAGGATATGAGTGCCCTGTGGTCTGTGTCTCGCAGAAGGGTCCACACTTCTCTGTCGCACGACCTGGGTCCTTACACGCGCACAACACTGATTGCTCTCATCGGTCTGGCTCGCAAGCATGTCCAAACAGACTGGTCGAGGTGCATTGGGCTGCTCATGAACAAGATCCAGGACGACAGAACACTAATGATAGGGAGTAACTCGTTGCAAGAACTCTCGATGCTGTTGCACATCGCGGGGATGTACGAGGTGACTGCTTTGAATATGCCTCCCAGGGCTGCGGCAATGACAATGTCGGCAACTGGGAACTCTTGCGAAACGGAGGCGTTGCGCAAATGGCCTGACATGCCCAGTGTGGTAGCTGTAGCACTAGTCGTGCCCAGGGACAGGCTACACGTGCTCACCTCAGCAGATCTCAACCGGGTCGGGACCCCTGGATTTCATCTCTCCGTCTATCAAGAGATGATGTTCGACAACAGCTTCCATTCCATTCATGCCTGCTTCGGTAAACTTGTCATCGATGAAGATAGCGAAACGAGTACCATAGAAGAGGATGCTCTGGGTTGGAGAGGACATTCAGATCTGATCGTCACTGGTCTTGTTTCCGCGTTCCAGTTCCTCATGGGAGAACAGAGCGAGACACGAGCCGCTCTTGTACTAAATACATGCGCCTCCAACGCCTACTTCATGCCCAGCCTGGGGCCCCATATGAGGCTCTTCACCACTTCCACCGACGATCCACAAAACTTCCGTATTCTGCCCACGCTTCCCGGAGTACGTCGGTCAGAGCAAGCAACTTTACTGCCTAAGCAATATGACTCTGGACGTGCTGAGCCAATAGTATCTGTCTCGCCAAGAGATGGGCGTCTCGACCTTCTGACGTTTCGGCAAGATTGTTCCAGCAATAGCGAGCGTGGCCATTTGCAAGATGGCTTGGACGTCCAGACCATTCAGGAGAGTCCATGCACGATCACCCTCAAGCTGGGGAAACAATGCCGAAGACTGTGCTTTCCGTTTCCTGTCGATGGATCACATAGCAGAACCAGGATCGCACGCAAGCAGCTCTGGGTGGAGGTTATTGTTCCGATATCCTATGCTGCGCGTCCGAATGGCTATGCATTGCGACCATTTCCTGTCGTGTTCGAAAAGGGCCAGTCTATGTCTTGGGGAATGGGTCGAATCAATCTCGCCGAGAGTCCGATTGTGGCCGCGGATATGTCGCTGGATACTTTGAGCGCCTTCTTAGGCATGACTCTCAGCGCAAAGGAGAAAGACTCCCGGGGAGCTGAATCTTCTCAGGGGTCGACTTTCTCCCGTTCGCTTTTCGACATGAAAGAATCACTGGCTCTTCTGTTCACGAGCTTTGCATGTAAGAATAGCAGCTCCGGTCGCAAATGGCAGGCATTCCGACTTGCTGTTGACAACGACTCGGACACGTTAATCTTCGCCAATGCTCTGCGACATGACCAAGACTCGGGCTCCATCTGCCTGGATGCCCATGTCGTCCCATTGACACCTCCCCGCGTCCAGAAACTGCATCGAGCCCTCACAAAAACCGCTTCCCAGATGCTGAGTATCAGACTCAGCGACCAGGAGGCAATTCTCTGGAAACACATCCTGCCGGCCTTGGTTGAGCGTTGTCGACATTCCTGGCAGCACCAGCCCACGTGTGAATACCACAAGAACAACATCAACATCAACTCCTCACCAGAAGCAGAAGCAGCAACAACAACAACAACAAAAACAACAACAACAACAACAACAACAACAAATTGTCCTCTCAGCATCCTCCACGGCCACTCACCCATCTGCTCCTGTGGCGAAGGCCAAAAAGAAGACCTTTCTCACTTTCCTCGTGAATTCTCCTCTCATGGTTTCGCGCAATTCGCCACGAGAATTGCGCTTACACCTCTCTCGGCACATCCCATGGTGGAGGCCATGGCGTTGAATCTGCTGCTGGGAGATTCGAAGTTGTCAGCATCATCAGCATCATCGTCATCGTCATCAACAGCAGAAAAACCGCGGCGGAAAGATGGAGAGAAAGAGAAGGATGGAGCGAAAGAGAAATGTGGCTGTTGTGGACGAGTCGCTGATCTCAAAGCATGTGCGGGATGTGGATTGGTGAAATATTGTAATAAAGACTGTCAGAGGCAGGATTGGAAGGGTCATAAAGTGGATTGTGGCAAGGGGAAGAAGAGTGTCAAGAAGGGTTGAAGTTGTTGTTGTTGGGGGAAGTAGAGTAGTAGTAATAGAGCTCTGGCGGAGGAGGTTGGGAAAGGAAAGATTCGTCATGGGGCAAGCGAAAGAATACTTCTCAGGCGGCGGCGCATATGTACTTAGGTTGCTCCCTACTTTCACTGAAAAGGGAGGACACGATGTACATGTGAAGCCTACATGGACTTACCTACTATCAAGCGCGATTCAATGATCAGACGTGATCAAACTTTTTTCGTAGTCTATGGTATGCTATGTCAAAAGGCTAAGCAACATCTGAGAGCCACTAGCATGAGCTTCCACCACCATCAGTGTTCCATGAGAGAGACTCATCTAAATGCAGATGAGAGCCCGCCGTCACACCATTGTGGGCACACTGGGGCACGACCATATTTATCCCTTGTAGACTCCACCACCATTGACAAGATGTCCTGGAGACATGCTGTACGGCGAAAATCCCCCCGGTTGACGAGGTGCAGCTGCAGCAGAATTGAAAGGCTGCCGCTGTATGTGTGACATCTTCTGGGAATCAAAATGCTCTCGAGTTGGTGGTGGCTTCGCAGGAAGCGATGAAGGAGTGCCCCATTTCGCAAGCAGACTTTGCGCTTGGACGGCATGGGCAGCGGGAGCCTGCATGGGCATTTGAATTTGGTATTGCTGACCAGAGCCAGGCTTGGCAGGCAGGGGAACGCTGGGCGATGTTTGTCGTGGAAATACGGGACCTTGTGGCAGAGGGTGCACGAGAGGCTGTCCCATTGCGCGAGGTGGGGCTAGATGCTGCTGGGGCTGGTGTGGGGACCCAAATGATGATGCCTGAGACTGTGCAGAAGCATGTCGGGCGAGTTGTACCGGCGAATGCGCTTGGAATGGCTGACGGAAGCCACCAGGCGTACTTGGTATACCTTGCGGAGTGACAGGACTGCCATTAGGCTGTCCTGGCACAAAGGTCTGGCTCTGTGGGTTGAAGTTCTTGCCCTTGTAGCTCCCCGGCAGTGGATGTTCATTCATATTGGCAGGTCGGCCTGGAAATGCTTGACTTGGTAGTTGACCAAATTGATAACCCTGTTCAGGCGAGGAGTTTGTCGGTGGAGGGAAGTTAGCCCCGTAACCATAGCCAGACGACGGGCTTTGCGCGGGACCCGGATACTGTTGTGTTTGTGGTGGCTGCTGCTGCTGCTGTTGCCAATTCTGCTGAGGTGAGAAGTATTGTTGACCATAATTCGATCCATAGCCTTGACCATGCGTCATATTGTGACTCTGCTGAGGTGGCATCTGAGATTGGACCGACATGCGTTGGAAGTCCGCAGACAAATCATATGGTCCTGTTTGACCCTGCGCCCATGCTTGAGTTGGATCGACGTTCTGGTATGGCTGCTGATTCCATTGCATATTGCCAGCCACTGACGCAATCGGTTGAGTGAATGGTCCAGTCTGTGACTGTTGTCCATATATGGCCTGGAACTGGTTTGCAGCTTGTTCGTTCACTTGGGGATAGGAATAAGCAGGCGCAGGAACACCATCCGACCCGTACGCGGTAAAGAAGTTACTGTACGCAGAACGAGCTTCAAATCCATCGTCGTCATCGGCTCGAGCTTTCTTCTTGTGCTTCTTTCCGGCAGCGGAGCTGGACCTTGAGTCTTGCTTCTCCTTGGGCGTCTCTGGGGATTCTAGAGGCTTTGCCGATCCCATGATGCGCAATCGTGCTGCCTCGTATCTGGCCTCTCGCTCCTCACGCGTCTTGGGACCCTTCTTCTTGTCGTCTCCACTCTCGCCGTCTGAGCCGTTTTTGGTACGCATTCCAGGGCCACTGGTAATAACAGGAGCATCTGGGTCGCCACGACGCAAGATCTTCATCGCAGGTACCATTGGCGGCGGCGTGCTCGCTGCAGTGGAAGGCGCAGTGATGCCCGTCAGAGGGGGAGGAATTCTGCAGTTGGGCGTTTTGTATAAACGGACCGCGGCGTTGGAGTCGTCAATGATGTGTCCAAGCATATAATAGTCTGCCATCTTGTGCGCAAGTAGTCGGTAGAAGGAGTGGCATTGCGGCAGGGTCAACGAGGACTCCTTAGCATCTTTCACAAAGTCAAGGACATCTTGTTCCAATTTCAGGACCCATACACGATCTTGCGGATGATCCAGCGCATCAAGCAATTTCTGATCGGGTCGGCACTCAAGTGTGGGGTTCGTGATACCCCTTCCGTGTGTGGCTGCAGGCACAGCACCAACTCCAGGACCGTGAGGGGGCACGTACAGGACACCTTTTGGTGCGATTCCATACGATGGTGGCGGTCCTCCTCGTATTGCCGAGATCTCCAAAAGCTGGTCCCGAAAAGCACGAGCGCCATCATCTGAGCCGCCTCGCGATGGCATGCCTGAGCCAGGCGCTGAGTACAAATCTTCATCCTCAACAGCTTTGACGCTGGCGCTATCGTCTGGGCGAAGCGACTCCTTCTCGTCCAATGCGTTGAATGTTGTGCCCGATGCGACGCTTTTACCATCCATGCTCAGTGGCTTGTTCGAGTCGCTCGAAGAAGCATCATCGGCGTGCGCAGGCGTGCAAGAGCCTTCCGAGGTCTGTCCTGTCGGCCGCAATGGCTGTTGATCTGCTAGCTGGACACGAACTTGTGGTCGATGGGCTGGATCGCAAGGTGAATCCTTGGCTTCTCGAGAAGCAAGTTGGACGAGCTTCTTCGGCTTGAGCATACTCTGGGGAAGAGCAACTCCGCTGGGAGGGGAGACAGTGATCCCGTCTCGCGGCGCAGAAGTTATGTCGTGTTTCTGTTTGGCGGAAGGGTTGTTGTGAGAATTCTGTTGAGGATTTGGTGGTTTAATTCCAGCCGCCGCAATCTACGCCCCAAGTTAGCCCGAAACTCCGATTTGTGAACGCGAACCTGAATCGCACCTTTGCGAAGGACAATTTCTCCTTCTTGATGTCGGCCGCGTTCGGCGCAGCAGAGGATGTCATGGTGCCAAACGTAGGGATTCCAGAAACAAGCGGGCGCTCAATTGGTGAACACAGAGTCCGAGAGCCGCTATTTCCTGAGTGTCGGCGAGCGCAGGGCTTGCCAAACGGTAAGTTCTGATGTGGTTGTGTATGTAGCAGATCTACCGAAACAGACTCTCAGGAAACTGGCGGCTCAAGGAAAATAGTTAAGTCCACAGCCAGGAGTCTGGACATTGTGCAGCGCGCACATGGAGTCTTTTCTCTTTGCTGATTCTTGACCGCTGAAGTCGGTGGGTATGGATTGTCGCTCGTCGCGCTCCAAGCTGTGTGGCGGTCGTCGTTCGGCGCGTGTCGTCGGCGCCGGCGTCGAGTCGTTCGTGTTTGCAAGACGCTGTGTGTGCGCGCGGTGATGTGAGGTGACAGGTGCGCTGTTGAAGCAAGATCAAATTCCAAGGTTTGGTGGCGGCTGCTTCCGTTAATTACATAAGCTTTCTCCGGCCCTTGGTCAGCACATCTAGATCCCCACAAGAGAGGCTTGACTTCCCGCCTCGTATGAACAACCAGGAGATTCCAGTCATCAGTCACGATCTGAACAACGCTGTATCGCAGAACCGGTGAATACATTCAATCGAGACTATGAATAGGTATCGCTTTGGCGGGCCTTCGAAGGCAACAGCGACGACATTGTGCCAGAAATGTCTGAAGAGAGGTAATGTATGCCGGATATTCACAACATCGACTGCTCATCCTGACAAGGACAGGGCACTATACATACGAGTGCACAAGCGCACAGCAAGATAGACCATACACTTCGCGCCCTTCAAGGAGTCAGCAGCTCTCAAATCCCAAATTGGCCCCCAAATTATCTGCGGTTTTGCCTCCCGTAGAACCTGCGAGCAAAAACAGTCCATCTAGGGCTCCAGTGGACCGGGATCACCCAGTGAATGGCAAGACTTCCAGGCCGACGAGCAGGCGTCGGAGGTCGAATTCGACCCATTCTCTGGATTCAGTATCCTCCTTTTCCACCAACAGATCGCGTTCAAGCTCTCGCACGCCGCCTCCTGCCTCAAGAGCACCGGGAGCAAGAAGAAACCGGTCTTTGAGCAGATCTCCCACTCGCTCTCCCGTCCGACGTACCATATCACCGCCAGTAGCTTCTACACGTCTCGGCAGGCGCAGGAGCGCGTCTCCGGATCAATATCGCCCATCGGCACGCAGCAAGTCTCCAGAACGAGTGCCGAAGGAAGCTTACACCGAGGCCAGATATCGACGTAGATCACGATCTCGCTCGCCATATCGAGGCGACAAAAGAAGGTCAAGTGGATCTGCGTCTGAAGGAAGAGATACGGCACCTGTCAATCGGTCCAGACCTGCCGCGCGGGAGCGAAGTCTGAGTCCCTATAGCCAGAGGCTTGCGATGACTAAAGCAATGAATGGCTGAGGAACCGTTTTTGTTCCAAGAAGCAGAGCAGAAATTGACTTGCAAGTGATCGCACTAGAAAGTATCGCGCAATCAATGACTAGTAGAACGGCTCAACGTTTGACCCACAATGCCTGCGAACGTCTTTTTGGCTTTCTGGAGATGCTGAAACGGTCGTAATTGGGACAATTGGCGCATGACCGTTGGATGGTCCCGCAGTTGGCAGTAATGTCTGCATGCCACGAGATAGTTGCCAATTCGACATGTTGCTGGATTGGGCTGTTTCACTTCCCGGACAACGAGCTTAAAATGATAAGGCATCAATCGGTCCACATGCCGAACGGGATGCAACAAGCAGAATCCAACACGCACGCGACACGACCGATGAGTTAGGTCTGTCTGGCAAGCAGCTAATCGTGATGCAAACTTTGCTACTGGTACTATGTCTACATTAATCGAATGCTGAAGAGCACTTCCTATATCAACACCAAGTCTCCCAAACAGCTCGATCATATGAAGATCTGCATGTAAGAGGCTGAAAACATCAATTGCGTTATCGCTACCACTTTCTCTTCTTGCATACGCTACCGCAGACAGTTCACATACTAGGCAGGTAGGAGGTACTGTAAGGTATGTTACACCCCGCTAATACCAAGAGTGCTCAGTGACAAGAGGACACCGCATGTGATTGTGTACTACCTACATCCCATCCCATCCCACATGTACACGCCCGGGCACGATCCTTGTGTACTATGTGCGATAAGATATCAAAATTCATTCTCACAGGCGCCACGTCAAGTCTTTTGAAGATCGCCAAGTACATTTATGTGGGGAGAGGTCGTCAGGAAATACCTAGGAGGTAGGTAGACCGTAGACCAGCTTTATCATTATTATTATCTTTAATCTGAATAGACGGTCTCCACGCAAATTGATCTCTCGTCACCTCTATGTACCCAGTAGTACATCATCGAGTGGAGGTCATGCAATGTTAGTATATGTACCTTTATGCCATCTTTTTTTTCTTTCGAATGATATTATATGAACTGACTCCTCCACTCCATCCTCTGACGACGAGCAAGCATACAAGCATACAAGCAAGGCAGTGGGGAAAGTGAAATAAATTTATGGCGAGCATTCGCATCATTTTTTGCTCCACTGTGGGTATATGGATATAGTAGGTATGGGCATGTGAAAAAAGAAAGTTTTTTTTTTCTTGCTTGCTTATGGAGAATTAAATGTGGTGCTTGCCACTGCTTGGGAGGAGTTACGCCGAAGGTTTTCGATTAGACTTTCAAGTTGTAAGGTCGGCGAGGCTGGAAATGGATGAATTAGGGTTTGTCGTTGTGGCTCGAGTGGTATGGCAGCAAGATTAGTGGCCTAACAATTCGGGGCGGGGCTTGCTTACATCTACTGCAATGGCCGATCTTCACCAGACTGAAGTTGGCATACTGTATCAGGTATGTGGTATGTATGTTCACGGTCCGTTCGAATCGGCAAGAGCTGCTGGCATCAAGACTTGACCACCTTTTGGCAATTGCGATTTACACAATGTATCCACTGCGGTACAGCTGCAATATGCGTTTATGCCTGTGTGCCCGTGAAGAAAAGTTGCGGGGCTTGTGGATGATTGCGTGATGCGCTGTGGATTGACGAGAATTTTCTGCGTAGGTACCGACGTCGCAACGGTGGTGCCCTAGGCAACGCGGATACAGGTACCTTTTGACAGGCGAAAAGTTCAACAGCTTGACAGATCACCTCGGCTTGTGACTTCTCCACTAGGATGAAGCGGACCTTCAAGTACCTCCAAGGTATGTATACTGACCTTGCTCGAGCAGCGGTGCACATGCAGGATGCTCCATGCACGATGGACTCTGGCATGACGGCATGCAGGCTCGGATACCGACATGAGACTCTGACTGTCGCTGTCAACGTAGATCGGGTCATCATTACCGAGAGTTCCTCTCCACATCCACCATCAGCCGCCGAGACGATGACTGTGATGCGACAGAGAGCAGCGAAGGCTGGGTTGGTCTGTAGAGAGTACCTAGAGACGACATGGCCGCCAATGGAAGCCTTCATTAGACACGCTGAGACCCGCTGGGCAGAGATGTCCAAACCTTAGTAATTAGTAAATAGTAATTACTATATAGTAATAGTAATTACTATTATACCTTTACTATTTACTATTACTATTACTATTACTATCGACCTTCTAGGAAGTAGTAATAGTAACGGAAATAGTAATAGTAATAGTAAATAGTAATACAATAGGGACTTTTATTATACAATATTACTTTATTTCTAGTATATTGCTATACTCTATAACGTTTATAGTATAAGAGAATCATTTATAGCTATTTTATATCGAAAAAGCTATAGATATAGAATAAACGTAAGAATATTAGTTATCTTATAAGATAAATTATATTTCTTATAGTATATCTCTTAAACTCTTCTAATAGAGTCTAGCTCTTTCGATAGTATAAGTATTCTAGTATAGTCTAGCTATTAGGATCTAGACTAGACAGCGATATAGATATCTTAGGACAGACCCGGAATAGTCCGGAAGTACCTAAGATAGGCTAGAACGGGCTACTACGATTTAAGAGGGTTCAGGCTAGGCCTTTACCGCTAATACCGAGTTAAGATAGTTTATAGAGAGTTAGAGTAGGAGATCTTAGATCGAGATATTCTAAATTAGACCCGAGAGGCTAGAGCCTCCGGGTACTCCGAAGCTATACTTATAAATAGAGGGAGAAGACGCATTCCTACTCTTTTCCTAAGCGATTCGAGTAGTACATTTCTATTAGATACTTTAGCCTATACTATCTCCTTTCTAACCCTCGGAGCTCGAATAATACCTTAGGCTTGAATTTCAGGGTATCGTAGGGTCGTCGCTTAAGAGGGTCTAAAGCCAAGCTGCGTACGCGTACTAGAAGCTCCCTTACGTATCGGACCAACTTAACAGCAATACTAAGATATACTAATATTATGTCCGGCGCTAATACTACTATCCTCTATAAGTACGGCAAACCAAAAATTATATCGATACGACGTTGCGTTGTTAAGTTGTTGTATACCGCTGATACCTAGCTATACTAAGAGAATTACGGCGACAGTACGTAAACCTATAACTACATCGGATAGCGTATATATCGGTACGAGATAATTCGTAGAGGTCTAATAAGTATAGTTTGTATAAACAGTCTTTCCGTATCTTAACGTCTTCCTCTTAAAATAGTAGCATTTCGAACTATAGTCTAAGATCAAAGGCTTACTCGATTTCGAAACGGTATATTTTAACTGCTCGATAAGATTAATACGGGGAATCTATCCCTAGTCCTTACTAAGTATATAGTTATATCTCGTTGCGTTGTCGTTATATTAATACGTAGACCAAATCTACCTTATGTACTAGGTAGCGCTAAGAATTGTTCTAAGACGTAGCTAGTATACGTCTTAAAACAATCAATAGTATATACGTATACCTTGCGCAATTATTCTAAGACGTATACCCTACGCAATTGTTTTAAGACGTATGCCTCGCGCAATTGTTTTAAGACGCGTACGCCGAGTGTAGTCGTCGCGAGTGTAGTCGTCGCGAGTATAGTCGTCGCGAGTGTAGTCGTCGCGAATATCGTTAGAAGGCTCGTCGAATTGTTCTAAGACGCGTACGCCGAGTATAGTCGTCGCAAGTAGACTTGTTTTAAGACGTATACGCCGAGTATAGTCGTCGTAAGTAGAATTGTTCTAAGACGCGTACGCTAAGTATAGTCGTCGCGAGTAGACTTGTTTTAAGACGTATGCGCCGAGTATAGTTGTCGTAAGTAGAATTGTTCTAAGACGTATATACTAAGTGTAGTCGTCGCGAGTATAGTCGTCGCAAGCATAGTCGTCGTAAGTAGAATTGTTCTAAGACGTATATACTAAGTGTAGTCGTCGCGAGTATAGTCGTCGCGAGTATAGTCGTCGCGAGTAGAATTGTTCTAAGACGTATATACTAAGTATAGTCGTCGTAAGTATAGTCGTCGCGAGTATAGTCGTTGCGAGTAGAATTGTTTTAAGACGCGTACGCCGAGTGTAGTTGTCGCGAGTAGAATTGTTTTAAGACGTATACGCCGAGTGTAGTTGTTATAAGTAGAATTGTTTTAAGACATATAGGCTAAGTATAGTCGTCGCGAGTATAGTCGTCGCAAATATCGTTAGAATACTCGTCGAATTTTTCTAAGACGTATGCCTTACGCAATTGTTTTAAGATACGTACGCCGTCGGCAGTTTGGTATCGCGAGTAGAATTGTTTTAAGACGTATATGCTAAGTGTAGTCGTTGCGAGTATAGTCGTCGCGAGTATAGTCGTCGCAAGTATAGTCGTCGCAAGTATAGTCGTCGCGAGTATAGTCGTTACGAGTATAGTCGTCGCGAGTATAGTCGTCGCGAGTATAGTCGTCGCGAGTATAGTCGTCGCGAGTATAGTCGTCGCGAGTATAGTCGTCGCGAGTATAGTCGTTACAAGTATAGTCGTCGCGAGTATAGTCGTCGCGAGTATAGTCGTCGCGAGTATAGTCGTCGCGAGTATAGTCGTCGCGAGTATAGTCGTTACGAGTATAGTCGTCGCTTGTCGAATTGTTCTAAGACGTATGCCTCGCGCAATTGTTTTGAGACGTATACGCCGAGTAGTCGTCGCGAGTACGGTCGTCGCGAGTAGAATTGTTCTAAGACGTATACAGCATACGTCTTAGAACAATTGTTAGCGCTACCTAGATACTACGACGCTTACCGGCAATTGTTTTGAGACGCGTATACCGAGAGTCGTCGTCGTAAGGGTCGTCGTCGTAAGGGTCGTCGTCGTAAGGGTCGTCGTCGGCATTGTTCTAAGACGTAGATAGTATACCTCTTAAAACAATTGCGTTTCCGCGGTTCTTCTATATATTAGGGGTATCGTCGTTATCGCCGTAGGTATAGTTGTCTCGAATTTGGCTATCGTAAGTATAGTTATCGTAGTAAGTAGTTGTCGTAAGTATGGTTGTCGGCGTTGTTTTAAGACGTGTTCTGTCTATAAAACAATTAGCTATTGTTTTAAGACGTAGACAGTATACGTCTCAAAACAATTAGCTATTATTTTAAGATATAGATAGTATACGTCTTAAACTGCCTTATCTTCTTAGCTTGCCTTATCTTCTCGGCCTGCCAAAACAGCCCTATATTAACATCTTCTTAGCCTACTATACAGCTTCGAACTCTTATCTTCGAGTACTACTTTACTAACAAAGGCATCGTCTAGCAAAACTATTCGATTATCTCGGCCTACTAAAACAGCCCCGTACCTAGCTCCGTACTCTTATCTTCTTAGCCTGCTAATACAGTACTATACTATTATTATCTTAACCTACTAAAACAGCACTCTACTCTTATCTTCTCGGCTAGCTAATATAGTACTATACTATTATTATCTTAACCTACGAAAACAGTACTGTACTCTTATCTTCTCGGCCTGCTAAAACAGCCCTATATTAACATCTTCTTAGCCTACTAAACAGCCTCGAACTCTTATCTTCGAGTACTACTTTACTAACAAAGGCGTAGTCGGTAGCCCTATTAGCCTAGACGGAAAACGCAAATCGGGTACCCCCTTCCCCCCCCCGTACTCTCCTCTTCTCGGCCTACTAACATAGTACTATACTATTATTATCTCGGCCTACTAAAACAGTACTGTATTCTAATATTTGAGTACTACTATATAAATAACGGCGTCGTCTAGTAAAGCTATTTGATTGGCTCGGCCTCCTAAAATAGCCCTATATTAACATCTTCTTAGCCTGCTAAACAGCCCGAACTCTTATCTTCGACTACTACTTCGCTAACGAAGGCGTAGTCGGTAGCCTAATCAGCCTAGACGGAAAACGCAAATCGCGTACCCCGTACTCTCCTCTTCTCGGCCTACTAATATAGTACTATACTATTATTATCTTAACCTGCTAAAACAGTACTATACTCCTATCTCGGCCTGCTAAAACAGCTATATATTAATATCTTAACCTACTAAAACAGCCCGAACTCTTATCTTCAACTACTACTTCGCTAATAAAGGTATAGTCGGCAGCGCAATCAACCTGGACGGAAAGCGTAAATCGCGTATCCCCCCCCCCCTCCCTATACTCTTATCTTCTCGGCCTGCTAATATAGCACTACGCTATTATTATCTCGGCCTGCTAAAACAATACTATATTCTTATATTTAAGTACTACTATATAAACAACGGCTCGTCGGCCGCCTAAAGTAGTATATATCTTAGAACAATTACGTTTTCTTTATCTAGATTATCGTCGGAATTGTCGTCGGAATTGTCGTCGGAATTGTCGTCGTTCGGATTGTTCTAAGAGGTTTGCTATCTACGTCTTAAAACAATTATGTCTTTAGGTAATCTTTAACCCTAATTGCCGTCGTCGGGATTGTTTTGAGACGTAGATAGCAAACGTCTTAGAACAATTATATATATCTAGCTTAATCTTCTCGGAAACAGCCTCGTACTATTGTCTTTAAGTACTTCCTCGCGTATAACTATATAATAGTCCTGAACAACTATATAACAGCTTCGTACTATTATCTTCGACTACTACTTCGCGAACAAAGGCATCGTCGGCAGCCTAATTAACCTAGACGGAAAGCGCAAATCGCGTCGGACTCCTTAGTGTTAATAACTACTACTTCGCGAATAAAGGTATAGTCGGTAGCCTGATTAACCTAAACGGAAAGCGTAAATCGCGTTAGACTCCTTAGTGTCAATAGTAGGAATCCGCCCTCTTATACTAGAACCGCGTCGAGTTCTAATACCTATATATATTTGAGTATAGTATACAATATACGCAGAGGGTATAAACTCGATCGGGCGGGGAGGATGCTTAAAGTCGACTAAGATTGGTTCTATCTTGCGAAATTGTTCTAAGACATAGACATTATACGTCTCGTAACAATTTATCTAGACATTCTCGGCCCTAGAAGAATATCTTTCATTTTACTGCTTAATGTCGCTATCGCCGTATCCGTCGATTCTATTCTTTATCGTCGTTGTAGTTTTGTCGTCGTCGCTATACTATCGTCGTCGCGGCTTTGTCGTCGTCGCTATACTGTTATCGTCGCGGCTTTGTCGTCTCGCTATGCTGCTATCGTCGCGGCTTTGTCGTCTCGCTATACTACTATCGTCGCGGCTTTGTCGTCTCGCTATGCTGCTATCGTCGTAGCTTTGTCGTCTCGCTATACTATTATCGTCGCGGCTTTGTCGTCTCGCTATACTGTTATCGTCGCGGCTTTATCGTCGTCGTAGTATTGTCGCCGGTTTTGTCGTAGTCGCGGTTTTGTCGCCGGTTTTGTCGTCGCTATAGGTTACTTAAGAGGTAGTTACTACCGCTGTCGCTAGATATCCGAACTGTATATATACCTAATTAATATAACTAGTACTACGATAACTTCTCGAGCTAAGTATAAGCAATATCAAATCTATACTAATAGATATACGCTTACTAACCTAGTATACTCGCGACTGTTACGCTCGCCCTAACGATAATGCAAGAAGGCGACGAAGCAATAACTGCCTACGAAACCGATCCCTTTCCTCGCTAGCCTACTACTATAACGCCGACTGACTTTTAGTTTGTTACTAATATAAAGTAGACAGGTTAGCTTAATAACATCGCCGGTACTAATATAAGGAGGAAGAAGCTTACGAGCAACAATATACGGAAATTCGACTAGGCTAGTAGAATTATAGAGACTTATTAAGGGAAAGATACACTAGACCCGTACTACTAGTATACTCGTCGAGGCCTACTATATAGGGTAGATACTATTAATAGCAAGAGATGTGCTTACTACAAGCGATACGCGAAGTCGGGGTATAATACTAGCGTACCTGTTAGTAGTAGTACTAAGGCATCTCTAATATAGCGGATCTCAGACCTTAAGGACCGATTAGATAGCTTAGGATAAGAAGGTACCTAATATTCGAAAGAGTTAGCTATATCTCGGAACGTTGTTCTAAGACCTATAGCTTCTGTATCTTAGAACAATTTAAACTATCTCCTTCAAACCGTCTCCTTTATACTCCCGTTAAGTCTAACTCCTCTACTATCGTACTGTTAATATTAACAAATGTATCTATATTAATATTAATAATGCCTAGCTCCCGTAGCCTATTACCTTCTATACGACCTACTAAGTCAGCCGCGTCGAGTAGACCCGTACTAGCGATTACAGCGTCGTCTACGACGCGTATAATCCGAGCGGCGCGTACGGCGTTACTCGTATTAAGCGCATCGATACGCTATACTAACCTCGCGATGCCGATGCTATAGATGTTATCGGATATAGCGCCCTTGCTCTTATATCTTATAGTCAAGCCCTCGGTAACTAGCTTGTATACGTAGCTTAGTATATCTACGACCGTCTTCTTAGATGTATAGTACGTTGTTCCTTCCGGTACTAGCGGCCGTAGGGTTTGAGTAATACGTTTAGTATACTCGCGATTTAATATAGTCCGCTTAATAGTCTTTTCGATATCGCTCGTAGAGTTGGTAAGGCGAGCAAATATAGTACTATATTCGCTATTATACAGTTCTAGTATTTTATTAGATACGACGAACTTGCCTAGTTGTCTAGATAGATTAATAACTAGTATACCGAGGATAGCGCGCCGCAACTCGTAGCTAGTAGCCTTAAGTATCTATTTAAACTATAGTATTTCTCCTATATAGTTAAACTAGCTACTACTAAGGAATATCGGGATTAGCTAGTTAACTATACGCTCCAGTTAGCCTACGTCGCCTTTACGAATTGCCGAGCGGATAGTTAAGAAGTCCTCGGTATCTCTAAGTATACGATATATTATAGTAAAATCTGGATCCTCGACAACGCCCTCGCTATTTTTGCCTATATAGGCCTTCTTAGTTATTGTCTTCTCGTAGATAGTATAAATATAGTCTAGATACTACTTAGGGGAGAGCTTTAATACTGCCGCCTAGAGCGCTTCGATAGTAGTCTTATCGCGATTATCCGGATTGTTGATATCGAACAGTTTACGGTCTATAAGCTCCTACTTAAACATTCTACAGACCCTACTCTAATATAACCGATATACTAGGCTTTAATAAATAAAGTACTTAGGTTTGTTGTTGCTAATTCCTTCGATACCCTAGAACCTAGCGTCGCCTTAATATATATAAGCAAGAGCCTTACCTACGCTATTCTTGTTTGTATAAGTCGCTAACCTAGTATATAATCTGTTTATTGCAATATATAGGAAGCCTAGTACTAGTAGATACTAGCTAAAGCGATCGTATAGCTTTGTATTTTTAATACTCTCGGCCTGAACTTGAAGTAGACGAGCTACTATTATCTAGTCGCTAACGATAAGTTTCAGCCCGTTATCCTAGTACTTTGGATACTTAAATCTTATAAACTTTAGGAATATATCTTCTAGTACGCTATATATACCGGATATCGACGACTCGTCGTAAAAAGAGATCTTGCTAGCGTATAACTATTAATCCTCTGTATCCAGAATATCGATAGTATACTATAGTACTCGTATCTTTATATTAGCGCTGCTAATATCGAGGCTATTCTAGTCTATTAGTCTACTAAAGTCGTATCTAGTATAGATCTTTGTAATCTTAGGATACATAAGGCTAAGGTTATAGTCGATATAATATATACTGTTATGCTTATATACTATATCCTCGTTCAAATTACGGAGGATATCGGTAGCGTCGAGCTGAATAGTAAGGTCTAATATATTCTAACGTAGGCCGGTCGCTAGTATCCGCTTGTTCTCGGCTATATACTAAGTTGTTATATTAAGTTGCTAGCTACTTCTACCGATAGTCTAGATACCTTTACGACCTGCTTAGCGTACAAGGTTGTCGTATATATAGTAGATTTGTTAGTTTGCGCGGCCGAATATACTATATACAATCTGTTAGGCGATAGCGTTGTCCTTTATTAGACGCTAGACTGTCCGATACGAAGAAGTAATACCTAGATTAGCGAGTACGTCTACAATAGGGCGTAGTACCCTTCCTATTGCAAGGAACAGACTTATTCCCTTCTAAAACTACGACGAGTTAATTAATACAATCGTTAATATAGCGATTTAAGTAATTGCCGCGATATACTTAGTTATAGTATCTGAAGTTTTCTGTCCCTACGTCTTATACCCCCCTTGTACCTTTTTATACAAAACCTTCTAGTTGTTTAAGACTTTGCGTAGCATTCGATTCTAGGTCGGTGTCTTAGTAATAATTATGTCTATTATCTCGTTAATATTTGCTAGCTATATAGCATTATATAAGTCGTATTCGTTAAAGAACTTCTTGCTAATTAGGCCCTTAAGCTTACGGCGTATAGTACGTTAACTAATTAACTAGTCGTACTCGAGACTCTTAACAATGTTTGCAATACGCCGGCGATAAGTAGCCGAACCTAGATCGCTATAATATTTCTTTATAAAAAACGGGACTGTTATCCTAGCAGCCCTAAGGGCGGTATATATATCTTCTATCTTCTCCTCGTCCGAACGTCTCTAAGCGCGTCGACGAGCTAGCGTATTCCGTTTATCTATCTCCTCGTCTTCGTCTTTATCGCCGTCAAATATCTCTTCGTAGATAGGATTATAGTCTAGTACTTTACTCTGTTCCTTATTATCGTTATTACTTAGTTGGAAATCTATATTATAGTCTTCTTCGACCTCCCCCTTATCGTCGTCTAGCTCTAAGAGTTCAAACAGCGATTCGTAGTCCGGATCGGTCGCTCGGCTCGTACGTCGAGAACTACTAGGTCTAGACTAGAGTAATACTTAGCTAGCCCTTAGTCGTAGTTAGCGTCCTTACGGCGACTAGCTTGTCTACCCTCGGAGAGTTCCTTAACTCGAGCGCCGTAATTCGAGGTTATCTAATAGTAGGACTATCTTATCTTCGAGGTTATCTAATAGTAGGACTATCTTATCTGTCGGTAGAAGGTCGGATAGACTACTAGAGTCGTAGTGCTCTAGATTGCCTGCTTCGATATTATCTGTTAGCGGAAGGTTAGGGAGACTACTAGAAATAGTGCTTATCTCGAATAGGTTGTATATAGAATAAGCAATATCCTCCTCTTATTTATCTTACTACGGTAGCGACGTACCGCTTATATCTTAATCGGCTATACTGCTCGTTGTTGATATAGTATATAGTACTTAAGCATCTGTAGCAAACGGAAAAGACGGCGAAAGTATACGGCGATATTAAAGCCTAAGGCACAGCGGACAACGTCTAAAATAGGTAGGTAGTATAGCTATTTGTTCTAAGATACTGCTTTTATACGTCTTAGAATAACTTAGTTAGATCGATACTTCCTCTAATTCGAGTTATAATAGTAAGGAGCGGCGCGTTTCGTCTTTAGTTACGTCGTCGATAAATATTCGGTTCGTAACGGAGGTATTATTTAGTATCGCTAGTATTTGTCTACTATTACCGTCGCTATACGCGTTAATTGTTCTAAGACGTAATAAACATATATCTTAGAACAATTATACTGTTGTTTATTATTACTGTTGTTTGCTTGCTATTGCCGTCGCTATATGCGTCAATTGTTCTAAGACGTAATAGACGTACCTCTTATAACAATTGCATTTCTCTTTACGCGTTCTCGAACTAACCGATTACCTAACCTTACTATCGCTATATACGTTAATTGTTCTAAGACGTAGTAGATATACATCTTAGAACAATTATATCTCTCTTTACGCGTCCTTAGACTAATCGACAATCCGAAGATACCCGAAGGCAATTTTACCTTTAGAGGAAGTCGAAAGGCCTAAAACCGAAGAAAGCAGATACGAACGATATAGTAACCTATATAAACGGGGCCAGACGCGCGCGTATAGCTACTAGGCCGAAATACACTTAGCCGCGCAGAGCCTACGAACTAGACACCTAGTCTCCGTAAGAGTTAACTATTGCTTGATTTTAGTACTCGAGACCGAGCAGTTACTATATAGTTTAGGAGGCGGCTCCTCGATATTCCCTATATTAACGAACTCGAACGTCTTTAGCTCTTGATCTATAATACTAGCCTATAGGACCTAGAGATATCTCTCGCTAAGCCGATTATCGAAGCAAGCTTGAAATAGTGCCTTAATACATTCTACAAAGACAAGAACTTTATACCTTTATAGCTTTAGATTAATGCCGTCTTTACGGCTGTCTACGGCTACAAAGACGTCGTAGTCGTAGAGAGGACTAGGGGTAGGAAGAGTCTAATATTCTATACTTTCTCTATATTAACTAGATTGGTTACTCTCTAAATTATACTACTAAACCGGCTAGGGGAGGAGTAAGCTAGTAATATAAGAAGAGCTCTAAGCTAGTTAGAAAGGGAGTCTTAAGGCCTGGTTAATATCGTTAATATTATAGTAGAGAACCGCAAGCTAGATCTAAGCATTATAGACAAGATTCGCGCTCGCAAGATATAGTATATCTTTATATCGCTAGAGACCGCCTCTCTGCCTAAAACGAGAGAGATTCTACGCGAGATTGCGGACTATATTAGACTTGTAGTTATCGACGAGCTTTATCTTGTCTACAAATAGGGGTCTAATTTTCGTAAGGAGTTCGGCTAGCTATAGGAATTACGTAATATCCTTCGGTTTAATACGGTTATAATCGGTGCCTCTACGACTGTTTCCTACGATACGATAGACTTTGTACTATAGAGGGCGGGCTTTAGAGCGGTCGGCGATAAGCGATTCAAGATACAGATTATTCGTAGTAGTATCGATCGTCCTAATACGTCGTATATCCTTAAGAAGATCCTCTAAGAACGACTTAGTATACTATAGAATTGTCTGTACTAGCTTCTAAAGTACGTAGTAAACGAAGCTAGCGAGGCGACCCCCGAAAAGATCGACAAAGCGCTTTGTTTTATCGATAGTATCGGCTTTGTAGACAGTACTGTTTAGCGCTTCCGCTAGTAGCTAGTAAATATTACGAGGGACATCGAGGACCCGACGAAGAAGTATACTATAACTAGCGCTAATAGAAGTTATAATATAACTAAGGTTGTTAGCTTCTATACAGCCTACGTCGCTACTATAGACTAAGACCTCCGATACGACGAGTTCAAGACCGTAGGCTCGACTATACGAATCCTATAGGGTACGCTAGCGATTGCTACTAGTACTAACTTCCCCGATGTCAAGTTCGTCGTATAGCTAAGGAATGCTATTACGAAAGACATTAACGATATTATACAACGCCTTAGTTATACCGGTCGCGCTCTAGACTATTAGGCGTATAGCTTGCTGTATCTGCTATAGTATATTAACGATAGGATAAGGTATATACTAGCTAGTTTAAGCTATTAATCTATCCGTCTACGTCCCGGTACCGATCCTACGGAATATCGGCAACCCCGATCTGTTGTTGCCTATCGACTAGTATGTCTATCCGGCCTCCGATACGTAGAGACCCCCGCGGACGACTTTACGGATACCGACGTCGGTTACGGCATTAAGATTAGTAATAAGGATAGCGACGAGGACAACGATAATACCGTAGCAGAGGATTATACGGTCGTAGTTAACGCGTACGATCTAAACCTAAAGAATCGTAGTTAGACAGAGTTTATAATGTCTATACGAGACAAGCTCCCTCCGATTATACGTCGCCTATAGAACTAGTT